AAGAGCTAATGACTGCTGGGAAAGGCCGGTGAAAGAAAACATGTTTCTAGTAATGGCTCATTCTGACCCATGAGCATTCAAAATGGCCGACAAGGCAGAGGAAAGTAGGGCAATAAATAAATAAATAAATGTGCAAATAAAAACTGTCTGAAATGAAAGTTCATCGAAGTTTTAAAAATTAGGAAAATAAAATAAAAAAAGCTGTTAGTTTCCCCTTAAATTGTAATAATTTCAGCGTGTAAATAGGGAGGAAATATACATGCCCTTATTAATGTTTTATTGACTAGATTTAAAAAAAATATATGTATTACTAAACTGGATAAAACAAGAATTCTGCTAAACAAAAATTTTGATGTTTTGACGTTGAGGATTCTCTGTCTCTCCGGAAACCCTTGAACCTCCTTGAAGTCCTGTCCTTTTCATATCAGTTTCAGATTTCTATGCCTTAAATTTTTTTTTTATTTTTTTTTTCATTTCAGCTCCCAGCAACACAGCTGAATGTCAGAGATAAGAGTCTCACTGGTAGAATCTAATAATTCTTTAGACATTTATAGCAGACTGTTGTTATTGCTATGTAATTCTGTTAACTGTTCATCTTTTGTGCTATTTCTGCTCAGCTTGTGTCTGAGAGTGCGCTCTAAACTGGTTATCGCTAACCTTTGGCATTCCAGCTGTTGTGTGGTTAACACCAAGATATTTATTACCATACTCTCCTTTTTAGCACTAGCTATTCCTGCCTCAGGTACTGTATAGAGGCCATGGTACCCCTAATCCCTTAAGGATCAGGCTTCATTTGCTTGTTTTTCACTTAAGGGCCAAAGCAATCTTTGCATTTTTGCTATGTGTCCAACCACAATGTATATCGTTTTCATTGATTGCACCAACACATTTAGTTATTTTTAAAGGGGAAAAAATGGGCTTTAATTTAATGTAACACATACATATATAATTTCTCAATTATTATTAATTATATATATATATATATATATATATATATATATATATAACTTTACTGAGAGGGTAGTGGATGCATGGAATAGCCTTCCAGCTGAAGTGGTAGAGGGTAACACAGTGAAGGAGTTTAAGCATGCGTGGGACAGACATAAGGCTAGCCTAGCCCTAAGATAAGGCAAGGGACTAATGAAATTATTTAGAAAATTGGGCAGACTAGATTGGCCGAATGGTTATCATCTGTCGTCACATTCTATGTTTCTATATATATATATATATATATATATATATATATATATATACACACACACACACACAATAAATGCATTTTTGTCACAGTTTTGGCAAAATAAAAAAAAAAACTATTAGAGCAAAAGTCTTTTGGATGAGGGAACAACACGTTGGAATCTTTTGATAAGAATCCTAAACCATTGTTTTTATTTTTTTTGGTTTTTATTTTACTAATAGGCTTTTTGTAATCATTTCTCTTCTTTACCTCTATCTAGATTCTTGATTAAAAGATCCGAGTACTTGAATTTTGTGGCTCTTCAAGTTCCCGTTTATGTGCGATTATCAAAAAAATGAAAAAGAACGTTGGCGTGGAATATTTAGCAAATATATGTTCTCCGCAGCTAGATTATCTGTAATAACCATCTAAGAGAGTACTTGAAGGAAAAAAAGTGAACAAAAAATGAAGAATGAGAAAAACAAATATCCTGTAAGTAATATTATTAAAAAAAAAAGGATTATTTTCTAAGCATTTTTATAAAATATTTGCTTGGTTTTAAACACTAGTCTTTATTTCTCTCTTTTTTTTTTTTTATTTGGTGTTTTGGCTAAGAAAGATCCTTGCTATTGAACGTTAGAATTGAATGAAATCTGGCTATAGTATGAAGTTTATTTGCATTTTTAGTTGCACATTGCACTTTAATGTTTGCCACTATAGTTCCAGTCACTAAAGCAATGGTCACATTATTTTGGGCTGACCACACTGCTTTGTTCTCATGTCTAATTAATACTTTATAGGGACATTAGAAACATAGAATGTGACGGCAGATAAGAACCATTCGGCCCATCTAGTCTGCCCAATTTTCTAAATACTTTCATTAGTCCCTGGCCTTATCTTAGGGCTAGGATAGCCTTATGTCTATCCCACGCATGCATAAAAGGACTCTCCAGTGCCAGGAAAACAAATCCATTTTCCTGGCACTGCAGGACCCAGCAGTGCCTCCTCCCTCCCATGTTGCTAAATGGGTTAAAACCCCTTCAGTCACTTACCTGAATCCAGCGCCGATGTCCCTCGGCGCTGGGTCAGGCTCTGCCCACACTCCTCCCCCACCGACATCAGGCGGCGGGGTAGACCTAATGCGCATGCGTGGCAATGGCCGCACGCGCATTAGACCTCTCCATAGGAAAGCATTATTCAGTGCTTTCCTATGGGGATTTCGGCCACGCTGGAGGTCCTCTTGCATAGCGTGTAGACATCTAGCGTAGTTTAAAACACTTTTATAGACAGCCACTAGAGGAGGACTTAACCCTGCAAGGTAATTATTGCAGTTTATAAAAACTGCAATAATTACACTTGCAGGATTAAGGGTGATGGTAGTTGGCACCCAGACCACTCCAATGGGCAGAAGTGGTCTGGGTGCCTGGAGTCCTCACTGTGTTAACATCTACCATTTCAGCTGGAAGGCTATTCCATGTGTCCACTACCCTCTCAGTAAAGTAATACTTCCTGATATTATTTTTAAACCTTTGCCCCTCTAATTTAAGACTATGTCCTCTTGTTGTGGTAGTTTTTCTTCTTTTAAATAGGCACCCAGGACACTTCCTCTCAATGAAGATGTCTGGGTGAGATGTTCCAGCAATGTAAAACATTGCAGGGTTTAAATGACTGATGGCTGTCACTCTGAAAGCCTCTAGAGATGCTCACGACAGTTAAACTCTACTTCAATCAGATGGTCTCATAGAGAGCTAAATGGAGCATTGTTTACAGTTGTATTAGCTTGCTCTTCTCCGCTACTTGGAAGCAGGGGTACCTTGTCTCGATTTCACTCTATCAATATCTTGGGCTACCCTCCAGTACACTCCTTGTGGTTCCCAGGTATGGCTGACCGATGAGCCCTCCTATTGCATAGACCCACCACCTAAGCTTTCAATAGCTATAATGCTACTAGTGGGAGCCATTTTGCTCTAATTTACTTTTGTTTGCCATGCCCTTTACTTACAGGGATAACATCTTGATTAGCCTAGCTTGTTCTTAGCATGTTTACGCTTATCTAGAACTCGCGATGTCTTGGAGCGTCTCTCTGACTGAAAATTTGGTTTCTGTCATGCATTTAGACATGTTTAACTAGCTTGATACTGTCTGTTATATTACTTTAAAAAAATTAGGCATTTTAATCTAGGAGTATTCTCCATTGTGCCTATGTTGGTTGTATACCTGTATAATATACATAAATCATTTGTCTCTGCTCTTTACTACTCAAATAAAAGAAAGACTGACAACAACAAAAACTACAGGTAGCGAAAATGTTAATACTGGTGGGCAGGGGTGTACCTAGCGCATTTGGCACCTGGGGCGGCTCCAACTTTTGCCCCTGCCAAAAAATGCCACCCCAAGCTCCCAGCCAAATGCCTTGCTTGCCTTGTGTTCTAGGCTGTCCACCTTATTGTGAGTGAGTGTAGCTGTCAGTAAGTGAAAGTGTGTGTCTTTCAGTGAGAATGAGTGTGCCTGTGAGTGTGTGTATGTATTTTTATGTGTATCTGCCTGTCAGTGAGTGGGTGGGTGTGTCTGTTAGTGAAAGTGTGTGCCTATGACTGTATCTGTCAGTGAGTGTATATCAGTGCATGTATCAATGAGGGCATGTGTCTGTCAGTCAAAAAAGTAGCCTTGACACAAATTGGGGGGGTCAAATTTAGATTTTGGGGGTGCCCGACTTTAGTTGTGCCTAGGGCAGCACAAATCCAAAATACACCACTGGGTAGTGGTCTGTACACTGTCTGGTAGCTGCCTGTGATGAATTACGGACAATATGGAAAGAAGAGACTCTTGGCATTAGCTGTAAGCTTCCTTTTCAGAGTGCTGTGGTTCCATGGCCTTGGACTTTTTGGTGATCACTTTTTTTTTTTTTTTTTAAGTCTCAGGTTCATATAGGAGCCTTGTTAATCGACAGTGATAAGCAACCAAATTGCTTAATAGGACATTAATCTTACACATTACTACACGTATTTCTGTGTGCAGGTACTTTTGCAGTACTAATAGTAAATAAGAGAGGTAAGGGCTGCGCCAAAGTCTAGTAATAATCAATTGGAGACAGACACAAATGTCAAAGTGATAGTCCAACAACAGGAAAGGCTGTGTCAATAAAATGAATAGTAAAAAAAAAAAAAAAGTGTCACTAAAACTTTGCAGTACTAGTTTAATATCCTCATGCAAACAGACACTATTGTTTTTTGAAATGTTTTATGAAAATAACTATTGGAATTCATTCACAATTGTATATTAGAAAACTATTAAAACTTATTTAGAAAATACATTTTCCCCTGGAATGTAGAAAAATGGATACTGTACTCAGGATATACCAGTTCCTGAAGGAGTAAGGCTTACTCAAAGAGGTCAGAGTCTTCCTATTGGTCATAAAATCCCGCTGAGAGGATCTGTAGGCAAGCCAAATCAACCTTGATAGATTTGTGACAAACAGTGTTGCCAGGAATAAGGGACATTTAAACTTATTGTAACTTTCTTTTCCTATGTATATCCATGGCAGCATTGTGTTCCTTGCTTTGGGCCTGGAGCTTGCTACTATGAGATAGGATAGATAGACCGATTTCTTGTAAGGATCGGTATCAGACGATAATCACTGGCGATAATGTACAGAAGACCGAATCTTCTGTACCACGGTGCACACTGCTACCAGGAGATACACCGGGGAGCAGTGACCAAGGAGGGGATAGAGAGAGGGGCACTAAAGGGGGGAACAGGGGGTGATTAGGATCACTATAGGACGGGGGTGACGAACACTATGGGACAGGGGAAGGGGGGAAAGAACATCACTCGTAAGCATTAAAGTGAAGGGGAAAAAAATGAATCACTTTTGTTATTCTTGAGATGGGCAGTAGCTGGTTTTAATACAATATCAAATGATTAGCAACCTTCTGTCTGGGAAGGTGGTAACACATTTACCTTGCTGTAGGCCTGGGCTTGGCATTGCCGCACAGTAATCAAAATTCCCCAGAAGAACAGCCCAGCTATTTTGAGCCATTTGAGCATATTACTGGACAGAATAGCTACATGGTTCAACATAATACATCTAAGTAGGTAAAATTAGTTAAAACTTCATTAGCATGATTGTTGAAGTTACAGGGAAGGGAAAGGAACACTGGGGTATGGAGCCCACTAAAAGAGAAGTGAGAGGAACATTAAGGGGAATGGGGACACACACACACTAAGAGACAGGTGGGGGGGGGGAGAGGAGTTCCTACCACACACATTTACACACACACACACAGCATGTACTAATCAAATACTCAAAATATCTCAATATCTCTCTCTCTCTCTCTCTCTCTCCTTGAAAACCTAAAAACAAATCTGACGGGCATGTATATTTTGTGCATTTACCACTTAAAAAAATAAATATGTAAATGTACAGAATATCAGTAAGCTATCGGCCTGAAAGTTCACAGATTATCGGTATCAGTATCGGCTCAAAAAAAAAATAAAAATCAATATCTGTCGATCCCTAGAACTGGGATGCGATTTATTTTAATTCCTGTCCTACTCAGCCAAGCAGACAGAACTCCTTTTGTCTCCTTATGTTTAATTCAACTATTAAATATTAATATTTTTGATATTCATACCTGCAATATGACCTTTTAAGTCCCATGAACTGTACACACATCCGATTAATGACTTTGCTTTCCCAACACTCCAGGATAAAAGCTTGTAGAATTTCCTTTTTAATTTACAAATTTGGGGTTTTGTTTTAATAGGGAGTTTTACAAAACCATAGCAAACGATCTAATGGAATATCAAAATATTGCATTGTTTCCCTTCTGATCTGTATTATCATAATTAAGGTGTTTTTGTTCACGTAGGTCATCCATTTCACTATATTAATATACTTTGTAAGCACATCTCTTTATACAGCATCTTAATTACATGTGATTAATGCCCTGTGTATCTCTTGAGAGCCAGGCTTCACAAACACCCAACAGAGCGAAGACATGTTACCAAGACTACCACACTCATGGTAGAATAAATATTACAAATGAGTTGCAGAGTAGTGTTTACCACTAGTGTTTTTACCACTCTGCTAATTAGTACAAAAAGGTGAACCCTGCATTCATTTGGTGTTCTGATCCATTTTTTCCATGTATCATGTAATTGCTCAACCTCTGGTATTTATTTCCTTCAAATGACGCAAAGGGTCCTTTAACGATCAACGTTAACTCTGCTTGGCTTGTAAATAATTGCATAAATGAAGTTTGGATTAGCATTCTCTAGACTGTGTTTAGCGCTCTGGAAATAAAAACTGAAGTTGCATTAAATCATGAACTTTAAAAAGTACATGTTTCAATACATCTAATAATGGTACTTGGGTTTCTCATGATCTCAGACACCAGTTTATTAAAGTTAGACTTTACACAACATTATATATCTGTTTAGAGTATCCATTTAAAGGACATCACAAGCACCAAAATAACTTCAGCTTAATGAAGTAGTTTTGATGTATAGATCATGCCCCATGCATTCTCACTGCTCAGTTCTGTCTATAAAGAGTTAAATCACTGGTTTCTGCAATCCTAGTCACACCATCTCTGACTGTGACTGATACAGCCTGCAAGAGGAAACAAATGTTTCATTTTCAATCAGATGTGACAGCACAGTGTGTTTGTTTTTTAGAGTTTATCTCCTGCTCTATTAAACATTAATCATACACAGGGGGCTCCTGCAAGCTCTAAACAGGAGGAAATTCTATATCAGACAGATTGCACAATAAAGGAAGTTTAAACATTAGATCTATCTTTACCGGAAATGTTTAGAGGGGCTGTGTACTTCACATGCAGGGAGGTGTGGCTAGAGTTGATAAATACTTAATCGCAGAGGAAATTATCAGTTAGGCTGCAGGGGCATAATCTATATAAAAATACCACTCATTTAAGCTAATGTTGTTTTAGTGCTTACTTGTCTCATTTTAAGTGCTGAAAATAAAACAGACTACAGATGACAAAAAAAACAAAACACAAAATTATTACACAGCATCAATATTTATTATAATTAACAATTAAAAAATCTTTTAAAAACGACCTGTATGTTAAATTAACTTATAACAGAGGTTAAGGTAAGCGATTATGACATACTACGTTCATTCCAACACACATACCAAATGCTAATTGAAAATGACACATACACTAGATATGTATTAACTGGATAGCAAAGGAAAGATACCCTTCCATAACAACAAAAATAAAAGGAGATAGATTAAACACATAATGCAAAACCAATTGATATTATATAGGTTTAAAGCCTCTCTAGTCTGAAATGGTTCACTGCCCATTTACAAAGAGATAGAGGTTAACCTACTAGCCCCCATCGTGGCTTGCAATAATGTTGATAGGACAGGAGGCGGCTGACAGTGATGCAGGTGATCATGCTTTGGGGGTGAGAGGAGATTTTGCTAAGTCTAAGTGAGCAGGGCACAGCCCTGCCAGCAAGGATATATAGAAGCCCTTATTTTCAGATACAACCTGCATCGTAATGCCAGACAAAGCAAGTGGGATTTAAAAATATACATATTCACATGCTGTAAGTGTAAAGCAATAAAGGATAGAACTTGTGATAAACCCAGGCAAGCATAAAGAATATGGGAAAAATTGTGCATTACTTACACCTGCTGGGTATCACCGTGCACACGTAGCGGGAGAAAATGCTGAATTTTTCATCTACTAACACTGGTCACAGTTCTCTCATGACCTAGGAGTTTTCATGGCAGTAGCAAGTGACAAAGGAATTAAATGGTTCACAGTTACAGAATTTCTTTGCCGAGTAACAGTTGTAAATGACATCATGCCAAAATGGCATTTTAAGATGTCTACTACCTACTTGGTATATACCCTCTACCTGGGATTGCAATTTGTAGTCCTATTCTAATAGCCAGACCTTATAATTTACTTGCCACGGCAAGCCATGGTACCCACTCCAGGGGTGAATTTCTACTTGCCAATGGCTAGCTATACATACACATACATATACACACACGTTGTCAACTTCTCTAGAAGAGGAAAACAAAAAAATCTTTGTACAGATGGCTTAATTAGTATCGTTTATCTTATCCTGCTAATATTCTCAAATCAGTTTAAGTGGGAACCTGCTCTCTTTTTGTCACCAACCCTTAAAAGAAATTGCAAGATAGAAATCTTTATAAAATACTCTTGTTGACGGTGTTGGAATTAGACTGAAAGTAGGGACTACTATGCTTGTATATTTTCTACGTCTGATCCTGGGCGGAGCTAACACTATATAGAAGTGTGATGCCCCCATCTGCTCCTGGTGCTATAGGGGACCAATCAGAAAAAGATGGCGGCGCCTTCAAGGGACAGGTTTAGGCAAGTATAACTTACCTTTACCTGCCTGCCCTCCGGCCAATGGTGTAAATTCTAGCAAAGGGACGTTCCTCTTTAAGAAACATCACTTGTAAGCATTAAAGTGAAGAGAAAAAAAAAATGAATCTCACTTTTGTTATTCTTGAGATGGGCAGTAGCTGGTTTTAATACAATATGAAATGATTAGCAACCTTCTGTCTGGCAAGGTGGTAACACATTTACCTTGCTGTAGGCCTGGGCTTGGCATTGCCGCACAGTAATCAAAATTCCCCAGAAGAACAGCCCAGCTATTTTGAGCCATTTGAGCATATTACTGGACAGAATAGCTACATGGTTCAACATAATACATCTAAGTAGGTAAAATTAGTTAAAACTTCATTAGCATGATTGAAGGATGGATGGATACCTGTGGCCTCCCTGAAATTTGTACCATACTTTTCCCAATCCCTAAAAGCGGTCTGAGAATTATAGGAAACATATACACAAATATCAGGGGTGCTGAGGTTATAATTGCATTAATAAAATCAATTATAGCATAAACTACCACAGACTACAACCTTTACCAGAACTTTGCTGGAACAAAATAAAAAGCTTGTTTAGACGTGGCAGTTGAAAAAGACCTGAAGAACCGTGAAAAGTTCAAGATTAAGAAATTACTTAAATTATTCCCAAATGGGAAAACCAATGAAACCAGAAGTGCTGGTGGTTAGCCAGGATTTGTGGACCTCTAGAATACAGCACACAACAAACATAAAATTGCATATGTCTGTATAAAACAATTCATAAAGGGGGGCGTTCGCAGATGGCAGGTCTTAAGCTTGCATTTACCCCATCTTATCTCTAGATCTATACATTTTCTGGCATACTATTAATCCCATACTTGGCAAAATGAAGGACGCGCAGTCAGTCACAGCCCCAATCTGCAATGTGCAGATCACAGGCTTTTTTTTTTTTTTTGATGGTGTGCATGTACCTCTATATCAGGGATAGGCAACCTTCGGCACTCCAGATGTTATGGACTACATCCCCCATAATGCTGGTAAAGCATCATGGGAGGTGTAGTCCAAAACATCTGGAGTGCCGAAGGTTGCCAATGCCTGCTCTATATGTACATCTATGCCTTGGCTACCACTTTGACTAGCTCAGTGTACATACACAGTACTTAAGTGTCTGATCTTAAACTAGTGTGTGTGTGTGTGTGTGTGTGTATATATATTATTATATTATATATATATATATATATATATATATATAAAATTTAGGTAGCATGAAGTCAGACCCATTTTAAGGTTTTCTTTAAAACATGGTCTACGACTCTTACCCATCACAGTGGAAAACCTTCGTAAGGAGAGAATAGCTTGTTGTAAAGATAACCAACTATATTGATCTACACAGAGGAACAGTTTATGTGTGATGCAAATTACTTTCCCCCCTCTGTGGACATTTTTTTTTTTTTTTTAGATCTGTGGTAGCTATACGGATTTTTTTATTTTTCCTTTGTTTTATTACATATCCTTTAAGTTTTAGGACTAGTGACACATTTAGATCAAAATGTCCCTTAAAACAAAGAGGTTGTCAAATAAGGTCATCGTTTGGAAATCGACAGAAACAAAGCCATCTTCAGAAGACAAGCCGTAGACATATTGTAAGTGACAAGGAGAGCTATAAAATGTCAGTATACTAGTTTCCCTTATCACAGTGATGTAGAAGACCAAAATCACCTCAAACGTGAAAAATAAACAAAAACACAGGGAATTCTCATTGGTTTTCATTTATCTTGATCTTCGACTTCCATAGCAGACATTGGACTTCGCCAGCCAAAAACATGACAATAGTGTGATGCCCTAATCGGAGCATGCCCAACATTCTTTAAGGGAAGAAAAAAGGATATGATTGGCCTCCTATATATGAAAGTTCAGAAATTATTTTTAAAAAATAGTTCCAATCACTTTGTCTCTTTGAATGCCCAGCGCATAATTCAAACAAAGTTATTTTTAGGTTTTAGAGAGTGACAACAGCAAGGAATTCACAGCTAAAGAAGCAGCCCAACTAAGGTAGCTGTGGCAACATGGGGGAGCATTTGGGTGAATGCCTATGGCTGGTGTCAAAATAATTCTATTGTCCTTATCAAAGTACAAAATGGCACTGTATTCAGATCAAAGAAATGATTTCTCTCAGAGTTGTGACTGGAATTAAAAGCAGGAATAAGGATGTAGCTGCTCTGAATCTCTCCAACAAGTGGTTACAAACCGTCAATTACTATTGTGAATGAATAACAGTTCTCCGGGTGTTGGGTGGTTGTGACAAAGCGATTGTGTGAGCAGGATATTCCAGTTCCACCACAGAGGCAAACCCGCAAAGTAGATTCCAAGCAGATGTTTTCTCAATCTGAACTTGATCAAGAAATTGGTTCTGGGTCAGAATGGCAGTTGTCTTCCAGTATTTAGCCAGAGACCAACTCAACACCCTAACATTCACGCATGCCCTCAGGAAGCACTGGACGCATCTGTCTCGATGGCAGCTGTTCCCCCAGGTTCCCGGACAAAAGGGAGACGCCATGAGAGCGGCCAACGTAGGAAGACTGGGGGTCTGAGGGAGTAGATAGTGGAAAAGTGCTGGCCCCAGAAGGACGGGGAGAGACGCAGGAGCCCATCCGGGTTGGACTTCAGGTCGTGGGGGTGAGTGAGAGAGGGGAGTGCAGACTCTGACAGAGGGAATGGCTCTCTGTAATAACCAAAATGGAAAGAAAGAAAAACAAAAAGGTGGGTGGGTGAGGCAGGAAAAGTTACATTGTCTCAGAAGTATAAGGGACTGGGAAGTGCAGAAGAAAATGATTGCTATTAAACAATGAAAAAGCAGGAGACCAAATGACCATGGATGAAGAAACATGATGGGCTGCAAAAAAGTGGAACAGAAGAAAACAAAACAGGCAACACAAAAACAGGGTGTCAAGTAGGAAAGGAAAGTCACCAAGTGCAATATACCATCACCTCAAAGCAAATAACGGCCATACAGGAGATAGATGAGAAGGAGGTTATGACTGCTTTAACTGCTAGCGGTGCCAGACATTGGGAAAACTAGACCCGATGCTGCTTTGCCAGGAGTCACCTGACCATCCGACTAGAAGGAAAGGGTATTCCTCTCTGCTATACTGGATCACAGTTTGAAATCTGATGCCATATGTTTTTGTTTTTGTTTGTTTTTTAATTACGCCTTTCTTAATCACAGTGAGAAGTGCAATATTATTTGCAGCTTAAATCACAACTCTGAGCTAATACCAAGTTGAGGCTGGTTTGCGGTAAAGAACACTATAAATGCGTGTACTACTGAAGAAACTGAGAATTCTCACTTGACATATAAATCAAACAAATAACCTCAACCCTTTTGTGGATTCTAACATTCTGTAGAAACAAGCTGAAATCCACCGTGTGAGCGCATTTGCATATGTGTACATGTACTCTTTACAAAAAGAAGTCGGATTAAAGCCATAAATGTGATTTAATTTAAAGGAGACTGTATTTTAACAGTTTAAAAGCTTAACCTCAGGGACAAGATACAAGGAAAAACCCTTTAAAGCCCATCAGTGAATAGAAAAAAAAAATGGCAGATGATTGAGGGGACACAAATTGTCAGTGGAAGGAAGGTGGTACACAGCTGGTTTTGTCAGGTGAGGGAGTTTATTTCAGGGCCGGCTACCTTGACATCATGGAACTTGAATGAGACTGGGTGGAGGATGTTGTAGCGGCGCTGAGCTGTGAGAAGCCACTGTGGCTTGATTCCAGACTCGTCATAGAGCCCCTAACCAAAAAAAAAAAAAAAACAGAAAAACAATTAGAGAAACTTAGATACCAGGAATTAAACCCTATTATATGTATTTTGGTAGATCAAGCAGAGTAGTATTTATGTTTAACATGTATGTGTAAGAGTGGCCGGCTGTTTTAGGTTTCTAGAGGTATGATGTGCTGCGTGTGGATAATAACTGTATAGAGCAAATATAAACCCCATAAAGAATGAAACACGTATGTTGGTATGTATTCTAGAATATTGGTATAGGCAGAAGGAGGTTGAATCTAACCTGAAATCTTCAGAGCCAATGATTTCTGTGTAATACATGACCTTGCACTTGTGTGAGGACACTTGCAAGGTAGCGAGAACGTCATCCACACGCGGGAGGCTACTGGTGGCACAGGCTGGCATACTGTGAAACTTCCACTGCAAAATGTAAAAACCCGGCCAGCGGGTCACGTGAGAGCCCTGAGTAAAAATAAAACAAATGCTTATTAGAAAGGCATGTTAACACCTGCACATAAATGAGAAAATGTCAACTCAAGAGAAAAGTGTTTGAACACAAAGTCCTGGTTCTACGTCGTACTCGAAAACAATTGCCTAATGCAATCACCCATTGGCATTTTTTTATTTTTTATTCTGTCATAACAGTAACTGGTGCTTGACATATTCCCACTGAAAATGGATGCAGGTGTTTCATTTATGTTTTTAAAACAGACAACTAGGACCATTTATATTAAGTAATGTACGTTAGCTTACCTTGTGCCTTGAAAGCACCATCATTTTAAAGTGCATTCTCCAAGCAGACGCTTAATTAAGTGACCCTTGCAGTTTAAGTCAACCGATTGAGCCAGCACAATGTATTTACTTGTTATATATTAGACCTTAATGCAGACCTACAGTGTGGCAAGATTTCCCTTAGACCTCCCAATCACACGAGATTTTATCATCCGTGATGCACTTGGGAGAGGTTTTAGTGTATTTAAACCCAAATGCACTGCTTGAGTAGCGTTTGGTCTATGGTTAAGCCTGATTGGCTGTGGTGTCAGGTTGTTCTCCAGCCTTATTAACACACTTGCACAAGGCAGACACTTCCTTTACCAGTGAGCAGGTCGACTACGATGCACCTTCCTCTCCCGATTTCAGTCCTGACAAATTTGGCAGATCTGCTATATAGAATTATTTCTATAATACACAGATTGAATTACTTTTCAAAAACTCTACAAAGCATAGTAATCTCATGACATTTTTCACAATAATTGCAGAGAAATTGGATGTAACTTATTTTCTGAGCTAGTCTAACAAACTGAACGCTTTTTTTTAACCAAAGAAGAATTGCTCAGAATATTGTCTGCAAACGGGGGACATTTTTATTGTAATATATTCTGTTACTTCTGGTAACAGATAATTTTGGTTGTAACTTCCATTTAATGTTTTATATATGTGATGTGATTGACTGTTCAATATTATACAAACTCACGATTTAATATAAATGGTGGTTCTGGGACGTACATTACCTGCACACTTTCCCCCTCTTTACAAGTCAGTGGGGACTCCACCATGCTGTAGTCTCGTCCCAGCTGCCAAGCCTTATCAATTAACTGTACATTGTTTCCCACAGGAGAAGTTATGCCATGAGCTCCAAGAGTGTCTTTTTTGGGCACCTGGGGTGCCCTCTTGGAGTGGTAGATGTTGAATACAATGTCTCCTTTGCACACATCAAAGTCCCAGGTGATAACAGAGGATGCGTCCACAATCTGAATCATTATCTGCGGAGTTAAGTGTAGAAAACAAAAATGACCATAGCCACAAGAACTGCACACTCATCAGAACCTTTCTTAAAAAACTCAAAAACAAACATCTAGTAATGTATTCCACCTTTCCATCTCCGCATCAATGTCCTTCAAAACAAAGACACCTAATAAACCCAAATGTATCGACGGAGGTAGAAAAAAAAAAAAAAAAAATATATATATATTTATTTATTTTTTAAAATTGTAATGGTCACATCAGGAGATTCAGAAATTATTGCTCCAATATTATAAAAAATATAAAAGGATTCCATCGTGCAGAAAGACAAGGAGAATTTACGGCCATCTCCCTTCACGCTTTTCGTATTGCACAGAATACTTAATCATCATGATGAAGAGATTTTGTTTTGCCCATTGGAACTCCCAGTTCATTTTGAATGTATCAAAGAGTCAAACAATACATTTTATTTCAAACATATACAGACATACCAAATTAAAAGTGGTTGATTAAAAAGGTTATTTTTTTCCCATTTTCTCATTAGCCCGAGCAGCATTAGGGGGTGGGGGGCTGGTTGCTGGGAACTCTCGTAGAACATTAAAACAGATTAATGCTGAATGAAAGGACAACACAAGGGGTATTTAGACTATGACCACTTCAATGAGATGAAGCAGTTATGGTGTCTAGAGTATCCCTTCAAAGATTAGATCTATAAACGTTTCACCTTCAATGTGAATCAGTTTTCAAAATCTCAAATGAATACAATTTATTTGCAATTTGTAACACTATATGGCACGGGTGTCCAAAAGGTAGATCCCCAGATGTTGAACTACAATCCCCACAATGCTTTGCATGCCTTGAGAATGACAAAGCATCACGGAAGCTGTAGTTCTACAACATCTGAGGATATACCTTTTGGGCACCACTGCTATATGGGAATTTATGGGGCATGCATTGCATGTGTATCATATGTGTAATTGGGAAAAAAGTTAGGAAATGTTTGAAAAGTGTAGGATCCCAGTTCTATACAGGAAAATCTCTACAAGATGTGTGCCCATTTTTATACATTGCCAAATTTAATTTGTGAAGCCTAATGAAACCACTTGCTTGGTAAATGATATTACAGTTAAGAAAGCTTCGATTTTCCTCTCAAATTACTTTATTTAGAAAGCTTTAAAATTACATTTGCCAATAAATATACATACAAAAAGGAATTAAATACAAAGCACGGCGAAAACAAAAAGTAATTCAGTCTTCTATTGTCTTTTCAGGCTACAGAATGAAAGGCTGGCAGTTTTAGGATTTCAATTTTGGATTCAAGGGCAATTGTGTACTCATCAGAATGTGACACAGAAAGAGGTCTTGTATTATTAGATCTGGTCTTTGTGATAAGCGCCACAAGGGAGATACTGACACTGCCAGTAAGTCCTTCTTAGCCAGTCTGACACAATCAGGATCATTGTGATTTACTTTATTCTGACCTTGCTTAATCACTGCATGCATACTGTAAAAACCAGAATCATATTATTAGAAAAAAAATTTATGAAAACACTAGTGCCTCTCCGTGCTTCTAAGGAACCTTGCTGTACAGATTTGAAAAACTCGAATTCAGCCCATTTTCTACGACAATCTGCTTCTATTTGTAGGACGTTTGATTAACTAGAATCAAATTGCTAACACAACTCACTTGCAAATGTATGCTTTTGTTTTATATAAACTACTGAAATTAAAAACATAAAGAACTCTGGTTTCTCATTATGGATGTTCTACGGTTGAAGTCTCCTGATCTCCACCTACCTGGCATGCAGCCATGTCATTAAGATTTAGGACATAGTAGCTGAAAAATCTGACTGCTACACAGGTAATGTCTGGCTGCCTCTTGAACTTGTTTAGCCATTGGCTCTTTGGGAGTGAAAATATATAGGGGTCAAGGTCAACAACACGAGTGAAAAAACTACAAGAAATAAGAAAAGAAAAAAGCTATTTGCTCTGAAGTATATTACAATAATTTTCTTAAGAATTAACTTTATCTTCTGTCAGTATCTAATTTAGATTTTTATAACTTGCATTTCTGATTTTAACGCATCGGCGAGTCTTTATATTTATTTAACTACTATCTTCAAATGAAAGTTTTGTAGTTTTAGTCTGTGGCAACGCAAGGGTTCCTAAAAGTAATGATGGTGGTGTACATTTTCTATTATATTTATATCAGACCCCTCATACCTCGTGCGGGGAGCCTTTAAAAACACTGGCTGACTGATATATGGTCTCAGTCCACAGTTTGATGTCCTCACTCTCCAGCTCTTCAGGGGTCCTGTAGAGAGCCTTGGGAACCAGCCCACCCTCCGGAACCTCACACTGGAAATGAAGGGTTGAAAAAAAATGTTCTAATTACTTGGGATGCTCTTCTGTATGATCCCAGCATGGCTTGATCTGCCATTTATTACTTACCATGCACTCCCCACCAAGGAAGTCAGGGATAACCTCCTTGTCAATGTAATCTAGCAGTCCTCCGGGACCTTGGTAATCATTGCCGGCATAGATCAGAAATTTCTTCCTGGTATTCTCATCTATAAATGGACTGACCTGCAGGGGCAAAGGTTATTTTAGAAGGTTATGTACAAAGCACTAAATCAGCTGGACAGAAAGCTCAAAAAGGGTAATAGGTAAAGAGCAGTACAATGAACGCAGCATAAAAAAAAAACTGAAAAACTTTTCAGTATTAAATCAGCTCTTTCCTCACACTAACATTAACATAGACATATTTGACAACTCAATGTCAGCATAAATTTATATAAAACTTTTTATTAAGGGCTAAACAATGAATATGGAGCATTTACTGGTTTAACAATTGGATAGTGGCTCTCTGAGCACAATTATAGCAGGATATATATATCAAACTAGCTCTCGTTATAGCCCGTTTCACGTACTCCTTATTCTTGTATTTTCCCTGGCTTCCTATACATGGCTCAAGTACTGTTTAGAGTTCGTCCAGTGTCGAAATATGGTAAAGTCACATTGAAACAGATAAAGGATACTACATAAAAGAAAAATAACTTACCAATGTCCACAACACTGGGAAGACTCTTGGGGCCCGCAAAATCAGTAGCCGTCCCAATGTCTCTGGATAATTGGCTTCCACCACTTCAATGATACGCAGCAAAGCTTTGACTCCTGGCCTCCACAAGTGCCTCATGTTCAAACCTTCCAAGTCTACCAGACAGGTCCAGGAACTGGGCGAATGGAATAAAAAAAAAAAAAATCACATTAACAAAAATCATTGGTATAGAGTCTACACAACGCTCACCTTCAACTCACAAATACTAACAGGTATGGAAGCGGAAAAAGTATATTTAAGAACCCCTCTGTTAGTTTTCAAGGAAAAAATGGATTCAACACGGTGTTAGAAGAAACCTACTGGCCATGGAAGAGTTCAGTCGGTGCCTTATCTCCTCACACCTTTTTATTTTTTTTATTTACATTCCACATACAAGGCAATACAAAACATGATGAGCAATGACAAAACCATTAGATAAGCAATATGCCGCACAAAACAGCTTTATCAAAGTTTTGAGTTGCTATAGGAATTAAAACTTTCAAGAAGAAATAAGAAAAGTCGTTAATAAGCAAAGGTAAAACAAAACATATGCCTCAGAGAGACCCAATTCTTCTAAGGTTGGAAACTACCTCACAGATATAGACCGAGAACACTAGAAATTAGGGGTTTAGAGCTGGGGAATGGTTAGTAACCAAGAGAGCCAACTGAGTAATGGTTACGAAAAATGTAGAAAATACATATTAAAAACCACCCTCTCCCTCCTTAGTGTTCTCACTTGATGGGGCGGCCAAAAACATTGGTGTTCTCTTCACAGCGTCTCAGTCCCTCCTCATTGATTGATAGCACCTGTTAAGGTAAAGAGATCTGGTTTATTTTCTTTCCATCTGTTGGACAAAACGTGTCTGATTACATAAATGTTCCACAATCTGTTTACAGAGAAAACCTTCGAAATACATTTAAAAAAAAAAAAATTATAACCCTCAATGGAACTCAAAACAGACTGCTATGCTAAGACTGGTCAATCAATAACGAAGGAACAGTCACATCTCTGGAAATTACACCACTGCATAAAACAAAGATTACCTAGAACTTCTTTTAACCTTTTTCAAGTTGTTTTTAAAATGTATATTCAAGGCACAATCTAAGCACCATAACCACTCAGCTCGTTGGTCCTGGCACGTCCTCAATGTACTTTTTTTTTTTTTTTAATTCAGTGGTTTGACTTCTTACCCGGAGTCCTCTGTACACCACTCCCTGCTTCCACGATTAATGCTGGAGAGCCAGAAGCTCCTAAACCAGATCAGCTGACCCTCTCAGCCAGGGAGTTAAGCCCTACAGGAACTTCTGGTTTAAGAAATTCCAGCTCTCAGTTTATGTTACGTGGAATGTGTCTTTATAATAAGATTATAATGTAATGTATTATTCATAAATGTTAGCAAGTGGCACTGCCAGGACACACAATGCAAATAACAACATGCTTTTGTTTTGGTTTATACATTTTTCCTAACTATACTCAACGGCAGAAAAGGCCAACATTTATAATTGGGGTTGACAGGGAGCCAAGATGGAGGCACCTGGTTCCGGGATAGACGTGTGGCATACTACACCTATTTTTGTTTTAAAACGTCACAAAATAAAATAATGTATATCAATATAGTTATATGCTATCTTCAGGAGGTACATTTTGACAGTCCTGAACTCGTCATTCTGAAGGAAAGAGAAATCCCACATTTTATTGAATAAAACGTACATGTCTGAGAAGTGATTCCTCGCCAAGAGCTCGGACCAAACCTTTTGTATCCATTTGTCCAAGCCTGAGCACGTACAGTGGCCGACCATCTGGAAGAGATACCACGTTTAACCCCTTGAAAACACACCTTTATGCAATTCCCTTTTCACACTGGAATCAATAGAATCACTTAGCTGACTAAGCCTGTCCGCTCATCTGTAGGCTATAAAACCCTCAAACTGTTTAATACTAAACGTTCCCAGATATTACTCGAGAACAACACATACTACTTGCAGTATAACTTCTCGTCTGTGAATTCCCTTTGCAAAACTGGTTACAAAGCAATAAAAACTCACCTTTGTCATGATGATGCCAACCTCCAGCGTAAAAGTCGTGTAGTACCTGTGGTGGATCCCATGTACTCAGTAGGTAGTCTACTTGATGCTGCTTACGCCATGTGAGTGACTGGCATAGGAGTTCTCTGGCTTTATCAATATTAAAGTCCCGCGCTCGCAAGAAACGAAGAATGTGCTCATCTTTGGGAATCTGAAACAGGATGAAAATCATTGGTCATCCACCTTCTCTCTAGAAAATTGTGGGGACCTTTCAGTAGTAACAATCCTACACACACAAAATTCCCTATAAATGGGGATAGTGTGTGAAATTGTTAATTATGAGAAATGGCTCCAGCTCAGTGATAACTACTCCTGAAGCAGGTATCCAACTGCATCATCTGTAGTGACTATCGGCAAATACCCAACCAGAACAACCAACAATAAAACTCTCTCACTCACCCAAGTTTGCTTCAAACCAAGAACCAGTGTGACCCATTTTCTTTTGGACACAATTCAAGGTCTAAACCCCACAAATATTAATGTGTTATAATTATTAAAGAGACCTGGACCTCCAACATTAATAATGCATGTTCTCAAATTTTAGGCATCTTTCCTAAGCCTCTCAGTACCTGTTAGTCTAATCTGGTATTTTCTTTTTCTCCCTACCTACATCTCTTTTGCATTTTCCCATAATTCTGTTCTTGTACTCAAATCTGTCCTTCTTACACCCACCCCCCTTCCATTTAAAGCTTTACTCCAAACACCATAAATTCTAAAACTCTGTAGTGGTTACGGTGCTTGGAGTATTGCTATGAAATTCTCCTTTTGCAAACTGGTACAAAAAACACAGAGTTATTGATTTATTAATTTAATTATTTGCATATCCGTGCCATTATGTCACCATTATGTCATGCAATCGTATCTAATCAGATTACTTGGGCTATAAGTATTGTAGTGTTCATATTCATTGTTTTGTGTATACGATTATGTTCTCCTTATGTGTCGATTCTTAGGCACTCTGATGATTGTGTATATTGGTACATCTGTAATTTTAAAAACGGCAATAAAAGAAGCAACTGAGGAAAAAACAAAAAAATTATTTAAAAAGGAAGATACCTACTTTGCCCTTGTGGGTTTCCTGTAGCCACTGTCGAAGCCTGATTAAGCAACTCTCTTGTAGAGGTGTGAGGTCTCCCAAATAACGCTTGATATAATCTGCATCCAGTTTGTCTAAAAAAAATGTAAGATAAGTTATATACGCTTAAAAAAAATGCTTGTTAGTACTTCAAATGTTTCCCTGTGAAGATTGCTTTCTCCAATATTTGTAAGATTGCAGATGTTTTAACAGGAAATTTAACGCTCATTAGTAATGCAAGGTCCTTAACCCCTTAAGGACCAAACTTCTGGAATAAAAGGGAATCATGACATGTCACACATGTCATGTGTCCTTAAGGGGTTAAACAGCAATGATCTGCAACAGCTTCAACAAGGTATTAAATATGGCTGTATTTCACATTTTGAATTAAACATTTTTTAGTCCCCACTGTATGCCATTAATGGCTAGAGAAGTAAATACCCAATGTACTCCAATAATCCTGGAGACCACCAGGTCATCTGCAAAGTCCAGAAGCAATAACACAACAGAAGATGGCAGGCTACTCAGGACAGGAGCAAACCTTACAAGGTTTGTAAGAACCAGCAGACTGGGAAGTGTGATCTTTGGACATACCATCTGGTGTGCTGCTAAGCGGCTCAGAGGGACTGGATGTTGGACAGCGTGCGTCCCTACTAGCATGCCCGTCATTGGCGTTGGTGTTCGGTATGGCCTGGGGCAGAGACACAGACCGGCTTGAGGTAGATGTTTTGCTTTCTTGTTTCTGTATGGTACAAGGAGTCCAGCGAGGCAGGTAGTTGATCCCTTCCTGCTCCATTTGTTTCAAGTAATACTCTATAATCTCTTTACCCTAACAAGGAAAAAAGAGGAGCTCACACAGTGGAAATGTTGGAAAGGAGACAACGAGCAGTTACTGCACACAAAGCACTAGATAATTCAGTTGAAGTGGTAAAATTTTGGTGGAGATGCACTAACCTTTTTGATATTGCTAGTGTACTGTTTCATGGCAATTTTTTCCACTGTGCTCTCAAAACCAAAGAACGACTTTATGTCCAGGCTGGCAGATTGTTCAAAGCAAGTCCACTCCTCATTGTCAGGGTGTACCTGAAGAACAAAGGCACATGATGTAAAACCCAAAGTGTGCGGTGCATAGAAAATGGTTAACACACATAGCAGTGACGTCTACAAATCAGTGATCAGGGGCTGATGGTGAAATAGGTTTAAGGTTAATGAATACTCAAATCGTAGCAAGCAACAATTAAAAATCAAATTTGTTAAAAAACTAACTAGGTTCCCACAATCTATGAACAGTATAAAACATTCCTCTCTCCCAGTGGTACTTACAGTGTAGGAGCAATACTCGTGAACTACTATGCGGCTAGCAAAAGTCTCATTGTGGGCTTCGATGTGCAGAGTGCGTTCCTGTCTGTTCAGAGCGTTTTTCTGGATAAAGTACACATAGTCTACCCCTGCAATCTAAAAATATAAAAACAGGACATTGCTTTAGTTTACAGGGAAAAATACATGCATCATAAACCCCCTAAATTTTAAGCAAATCAGGATATCCTATGGACCATATGACACATGGCATGTGTTTCTCCCTCAATGCCCCAGTCACGTGTGTGGACTCTCACCAGTCACTAGGCTGGTTTAGAACAAAAACTGGATGCACAGGACTACCTCCACAGGTGCCTGATGGGACCCAGGTAAATTGTAAAAACGGTCTCATGGGTTACTGTGGGCAGGGTTCCAGAGAAATCCCGATACCATAGCCACTACATTGAGTTGTAGTGTTATGATGCTTAGAATGTTCCTTTAATACATCTTTTGTCAGAAGCATTGCTTACTTATTTAACTGAAAGTCTTGGTAAATTGGCATCTCATACAGACAGGATGCATAGTTTTTTTTAGATATCTTATGCTTGTGCAAACACCAGGGTTTATGAATGTGCACTAGCTCTTAATTACCTGCATAGAATTTGGTCAGATAAGAAGATTTAAGGACTAAAGAGGACAAAGATAACTCCAGTCCCCTAAAGCAATTTGGTGAGCTAACTAAAGTGCTGAGGGGTTAACTACATGTTCCCTCAGGCTTATTTTAGAAAAGTGCAGATTTCAAAAGAAATTGGCCCTTTTATAAATTACCTTTGTAATGCCTCCCAGCTGACAATGAGGCAATTAGGAGGATTGCCTTTCACACTTGTTTTAAACCATCTTTCAAAATATATCGCCAATACTGAGCAGAGAGACTGCCTCAGTGCTGGGAATCCCCCCTCCCCCCCCCAAAAAACAAACAAAAAAAACAAAAAAAAACAAACAACAAACCACAACAAAATAAAGGGGCTGTTGGAAGTAATTCTAAAATAAATTTGGACACTTAAACAATAAAAATAGATTTATACTCCTTATGTTTTTGATAAGAGTGATGAATGAGAAGCAGTGTGGATCATGTTTTATTTGAATAAATTAGAGGTGTTAATACAAAACGTACCAGCCGTACTTGTCATTATGTCAAATCTCTCACTTTACTGTAATCGACATGCCAAATCTCTCTCTTGAAATCTTTTATTATTTTTGGAGGGGGGGTGAGGGTAGGTAATCAGAAAAAAGTATTTGCTCTCCATGTGACAGCCCTCGATTTAAATAGAACATTCCAGGATAGATTAAACCACACGTAGATAAAACCTATAGATTTATAGTAAAGAAAAAAAACAAAAAACTGCACAGGAATAGTCCCAGCAGGGGGAGCCTTCAACAAATGTAAAAAGCAATGAAGAACTGACTTTAAACTGGACGAGACAATAACACAGAAATAAGTACGAAACATTCGTCAATAGCTTTATATGCGATTGATGATAGTATTAAAGCACTCAGGCAGCTAAAGAACTAAAATGCGAAGGAGCGAACAGTCCAATTTTCTAAAAAAAAATAGAGGTCTTGGAATTATGGGAAACATACACACTCTTCCAATGAATGGAGGTCTTGGAATCATGGGAAACACATTATTCTAATAAATTAAGGTCTTGTAATTATAGGAAACATACACACTCTTAATGAATGGAGGCTTAAAATGGCTGCGATATCTCAGCCATTTTCTGGTTCCGGTGGATGTCACTGCAGACCTGAAGGATTTGTTTAAAAGTGGACAATCAAAGATGCGTAACTCTAGGACCCATTAAATAGGTAGTAAAATCTAATCCAGGTAATTATGTACTTTGGTCCGATTAGTATACATCCGGCTCATTGAACAATGTTGCGAAATTCATTATACACTGGAGAAGTACCATCATGTGGTTTTGTGAGCCTTGCAGACTGACCTTCTTTAGCAGCCGCGGAGCATCCACGTCCAGTTTGCAGCGTCTTTCCACCACATGCACGGATCCATCCTCGCTCTTAAACTCGCTCATTACGTCACTGCCAACAAACATGGGGATCAGGTGACACGTTGGGAACCGACGCTCATATGCCTGCAGGGTGACAAGAATAAAACCGTCCTTGAACATATATCCACCTGTTCTAATACAGAGTTTACTGTAACAATAGTAACATGACAATTAGGAGCATCTCACACAAAAAAATAAAATAATTTTTCTTCTTCTTCTAACAATTCTCTTCCAAGTAAGCCCATCCGACAACTCCTCTTGATAAATTACGTTTTTTCTCTACATCCATTTTTCTCCCTCTACAATTAACCATTAAGAACAACCTAACAGAACTCATAAAAACTACTTGGTGAGGGCTGCCATTGGGCGGTTTATATAAATGTGCCTTTTACGGCTTTCCATAGCACATCGGATATCAGCTGCATCGCTCTCTCTCATTATATGGTGTCCAAATGTTTTGAAGGAAGGCGTTCCAAAATGCATGGGCACAAATATCTTGGATGGGTCATGGAGAGTCATGGTTACTTGGATATCATTGGAAGTTGGGAGAGATACAGTTGCATTGATTTACAAGCAAATTACTAAGACATGCCCAGCACCCCTTACATTTAATATGCTTTCTCAAAGAAAATAATGAAGGATACGTTTCTGGTAGAACTATAAGGTTAATATATACATTGTGCAAAAAGATTTTTTTTTTTTTAAAATGGCTAGACTAAACTTGTTTTTTTATGCTTCCATTATACTGGAGAATCCCCTTGATATCCTCTATAGGAGAGATTATGGAGCGGTCACAGATTATGAGAAAGAAGGGCGGTGTAACTACACAGTCTGAAATTGGAGTCAAAGATGCATGACATTGTTAAATCTCAGAAATAACGGGCTGATCGCTGCCAGACATAGTACTGGATTAATAAAATGCCTCAATCAGAAGGCAAAAAATAAATAAATTTTATTCAATAAAAACCTTATGACAAAGATAATGTGTGGTGAATGTACCTGTGTACAAAGCTAGGATATGGTAGCTAATTATTATTATTAAATAAGGAGAGAAATCCTCCTATTGGTGCCATGTGACAGCTTCTAATTGGTAAGTTCCGAGCAACGTAATAGATGATGTAGAGGGGGAATCATCTCGGTAGATTAGATTAACCCCTTGTTGGATAACTAGAGATGGTCCACCTTAGTAAACATATGGACCTAATATTAAACTGGACTAGAATTATACAAATTGCAAAGTATGCAGTTAAAGCATTTGCCAACAAGATGTTAAAGATATACAAATATTGACTCAAAAAAGGGGGGAGAATCAAATTTTGCACAAGTAATTATAACATGGGAATATCAAAATTCCCAACAGAGTGTAAAGATCATAGACACATATATTCGATCAATGGCTGATTTTCGTGCCGGAGATATTCTGTGAAGAATATTTACAAGGAGGGTTATATTGGTTTAAGCAGCTATGAGAAAATGTGTGATCGAACATATTACTGACTAATAAACCCAGCCAGAGTATAAAAATCGCTACAGTTATAGGTACTTTGTTTCAAGTCAAGGTGGAAAGTATCCAAACAGATCTTAACCCCTTAAGGACACATGGCATGTCATGATTCCCTTTTATTCCAGAAGTTTGGTCTTTAAGCACTAAAACCACTTTAGCTTTATAAAGCAGTTTTGATGTTTAGATCATGCCCTTGCAGTCTCGCTGTTTAATTCTCAATTTCCTACGGCAAAGCACTGGATTGGTGGCGATCATCAAGATTGATGATCTCAGCTATGGAGGCAGAGCCAGCTGGCAGCAAGAATGGTGTGGTGTGTAAAACCACAGAGAGGAGGCAAGTAACCTAAACAGTCACTTCAGCATTCAGGAATACAGGATTGCATTTCTGACACAATAGTGTTCCTTCGACATTTGATTGAAAATGGAAAAATATTTTGTTTTCATGCAGGTTGTGTCAGTCACAGCCAGGGGCTGTGTGGCTAGGGCTGCATACACAGAAACAAACAGGATTTAATGCCTAAATGGCAGATAATTGAGCAGTGAAACTTCAGAAACATGATCTACAAACCAAAACTACTTCATTAAGCTAAGGTTGTTTAAGTAAGGCTGCCTATAGTGTCCCTTTAACCTCGCACATCCTTTATCCCTTATTAATGTTTCCTATAAACAGAGGACGTGTGAGTTTCATATGGAGGAGGGTGCAGCGTGAACCTGGGCATGTTATACGTCTGGGTTGAATGAACCATATAATTACAATATTAAAAGACTAATCAAGTACTGTCACTACATACAATATCATTTCCACTGCATAGACTTTGTGAGATTGAATACTACAACGAACGGCTGCGAATCATGTACTCAGTCTTTTTTTTTTTTTTTTCCCCCCCCCCCCCCCCCCCTATAAGAACAGGCTGGTGTTTGGGAAGGTGACGTGAAGGGTTTCCTATGCTGCGGAGAGAGAAAAAAAAAAAAAAACTGTTTCCTGGCAGTACAATGGCACTAAAAATAAATGTACGCTCAGCAGAAGCTCCTTCATATCACACTGCAACGGAAGAGTCATGTTTTATAACATCACATAGGAAGTGTATTATTAAAAGAACGGCTTTGTATTTGGTTTTTGGAGAATACAGAATTCAATGCACTTCTGATTAGGGAGAGAAATAGAAGCCTTGATGATTGCTTTTCAGCACAATGCTAAACATAATGCAATTTAATGGCGTACAAAGCCTGAAGAAGGAGCAGGGATTGTAAGGTGTGTGTGTGTGATGAGGGATTTACACGGCTATATTATCTAGATCACATGTCACGGGAGACCATATGTACTGCAATGCGCCAGTTTGCCGGTTTAGTAAATTCACAATTTTTTTTTTTTTTTGCTTCACTGCTTTTTATCTATACAGAAGAGAAAAAAAAAAAAGGGGGGGGGGTGTTAATGGCACACCCAGATCATGCATTTCTCAGCAGTGGTGCTACTGTAAAGAATATATTTATAAAATACAGATTAAATAATAGCGCACGTACACAAAGAAATTAAATAAAATACACTATTGAATTTTACAAGGCTACTCCGCTGCTAAGTAGCTTTTTAAAAGGTTAAACTGTATATTTTGCGAGCGCGCTGTACCTTAATCTGTTTTTATCTATAGTCAGTTGAACATTCTTTAATTTCAAAAGGTTGTCTATAATAATGCACATCAATTCTGCATCTACCAATCAGGATTCAGATTTAATTGGATATGAATCTCCCACTTAAAAGGTGCAATACGATCTTTAGAATTAAAACTTCTACGTACAAAATAAAAAATAAAATAAGTTGGTGATAAAGTACAGTCTTGCAAGGTCAGTGACACTTTCGGCTAGTTTTGGCTCAGTAAAGCAGAACAGTGGATATTTAATTAAACAATGATAAAGACTGTACACTTTTTTGAGAGTACGAACACCTATGAAGAGTCTCACTACTGGCTACTCAGCTGATTCTTGACTAGGTATGAGTGGGTACTTCATAGGTTCACACACACACTACAGAACTTCAGAAAAGGTGTAGCTGTGTCTTCTGGTCTGGAATTTGGTATTAGCTGTAGCGGACTCAAGACAAGGAGCAAAGAAAGTTTCAATGTCATAAATTATGTCACGGTGAGGCTAAAAATGTGACAACATATGTATATCAAATGCTTGCAAATCTAAAATACATAAAAACTGATCAGTCTTATGGACTTGAACAATATTGACCTCTACCAGATTTATAGATGGAGAAACGTACAGAGAACAAATGAACAAGAATCCCAATTATTATAAGGTATGTTACTTTGCCGGGAAAAATACATTTAAAAAAAAAATATATACATCATAAAACTTTGACAGGAGGTGGTGGACAACATCAGCTTAAAAAGGATATATAGAAAAAAAAATTGTTACATTTAGTAAATTCTTGATCTCTCTAAATTCAGAAATAAGTTGACCTTCCTTATTTGTAGAGTAAAGTAAATTTGATTTTAATGGTTAAGAAAAACCAACACACACCCTTTCCCAGCAGACCGATAACTAAACATTGCCTCTACTGAGAAGTCCATTTTTTACATATTTCAGAGAAAACACTTTAAGAGGCCGAAAGCCACTAGAGGCATATTCTTAATAAAACCTTTAAAAAAAACAAAAAAAACACGCATGATTACACATAGCATAATCACACTGAACACTTAATGCTTCAGACTGGAGGTACTTGACACGCATGAACGGTATGTATACACAATCTCTTGATAAAAACAATACAGTGTTACATAAAAGGGCTGTGTCCCCAATGATGGCTGAATCTTAATGTTGAAAGCATCGCCGTAACCTTATGGATACATATACAGTTTCCCTTTAAAGGAAAAACTGATCTGCTTGACTTTTAATCACCAGTCACAAACAGCATGAGGCCCCCTAGTCTCACAAATTCTTTCAGAGGAACAAACTTTCCTTCCATCCATATTTTATATATATATATATATATATATATATATATATATATATATATATATATATATATATATATATATATATATATATATATATATTTATTTATTTTTAATATAGCTATGGAATTGGCGAACAGACTAAATCATGAGCATTTGCAAAACTTCTACAAAAAAGAAAAATGTTATAACAATAAGGGAAATGAAGCAGTCTGAAACTACATTTGACCGGCCAGCATGGTTGTGCGTGAGGCATCACAGTCTCCGTTTACCAACACAGAAGTTGTAGGACTTCTGACGGGACTAGTCTGTTCAAACTATCCAGGCCTACTGAAGAAAGTATTTCACCCTCTCCAGTGTGTCAGTCATGTCCTCTGGTACTTATCTCTGCAAAAGGAATCCACTATGGTAGTTCTGCTAATATATGTGAAAGGCCATGCCCTATCTTTGAAAAAGATTAGAAAACATATATAAAAACAGTGCATCATAAACAAGGACTCTGCTCTCACTAATCTATATACTAGGGCTCTTGTACTATTTTTAACCATACTAACTGCAGGAAGAAAATCGTTATCCCAGTTCTCTCAACCTTTTTTATTTGCTGCCCAGAAATAAAATTTACATGGGAAAATTGCAAAGCAGTATCAATAGGATTGCTTTGCAAGGTACAACTCAAAATACAAAGGGTAACAATTCAACTAGCAATATATTTAATATCTTGTTCCACTAACTCGTCAAAACCAAACAATTCCAGAAATCTGTAAATTAAGAAAATTTGGTGTAAACTGAAACGGTGTTCACGTCAGGAGGAGGACAACTTTAATATTGTATATTGTAAACTTGCTTGGTTTACTTTACAAACTAGAGTACTTTACTAAGAAGTAAAGTTTCTGAAGATGTAATACTATGTAGTGCACCATAGGACAAAGCAAAATAATCTTTAAAGAAACAGTGCGCAGAACTGCCCCAGGAAGCACCTCTAATAGCCATATGAGGAGTGGCCACCTGAGGTATCCCTAGGCTGTAATGTAAACACTGTATTTTCTCTGAAAACACATGGTTTACTGTAAAAAGCCTAAAGGGAATTATTATACTCACCAGAACAAATACAATAAGCTGTAATTGTTCTGGTGACCCTTAATAGAAATAAAAAAGAAAGTGGGAGGAAACCCTGGGACGGACACTTACTGAGAATAAATGGGACCGGATCATAGTGCTAATCCATACATGGTTCCAAGATGCAAAGACTCAGGAGCTTTCTTTACAAGCTCCTAACACAGTAGTACTACACCACATATGTATTACAGCGATGGAACCCGTCGCCCTTGGATGCCTGCTGGCGCTGTGGGGGTAGAAGTGGTGACCTGCTCCACATTTGTAGGCACTGCTCAGAGATCCAAGATTTCTGGTTAAACATGTATGAGGTAGTGAAGCTTTCATCATACTGTGATGTCCTAGCAAGCGTACTAAAATTCTGTTATCCGCTGCCTCCTGGACTAGGCAAAAGGTGTTGATCCCGATGTTTTGGAAGCAGGGTACATCACCACCCATATTTTTGTGGGCGGCGCAAGTTAAGAAGGTGAGAGTGGATTCATTGAGTGCCAACACTACTAAAAGAAAGGAGCCCTTCGGAAGTCAGTGGTTGTACTGGATGGAATTTTTGTCTTCTGCAGACTTTTCTACATATGCACAATCAGCAGCTAATGGGGTTGGAGGGGCAGGATATTTCATTCAGTGCGTGGTTGCATATGACACGCTAGTCTGGTGGCTTCTGTTGCGTGGTAAGGAGTTTCTCTTTCTCCCTCTCCTTGCACCTCTGTACCTTATTGGTGGAGCATCTTTAGGACTCTGAATTAAACACCCTTTATACCTATAAAGCACTAGGAGTTTTGAAGTCTATGGGCAGATTCAGGTAGTGGTGGGCATAGACGGATGTATAGTGTTGATTAAATACAAGGAGGCAGTAAATTATGCACCACTTGCATTAACTTCCTCCTATTGTAATAGGTCAATACGCCAATGCACGTTTCATGTTTTACTACTGTAATTTCATTTTACTTCTGTACAAACAGTTTTTCTTCAATATGCATTTATTGAACGAATATGGAAAGAAGGCAGACCACTGGTAAAGATTAATTTGGTTTACAAATGGCAAAATAAATCAAGCAAGTAATCTGGTTTTCACATTGATCTGTATAAAACACATTTACATTTACAAACAGTATAGAAAGGCCATAAAATATGCGAAAAAGATGTGCATTTCATTCTCATTTTGCCGGATACTGAAAAAAATGTTGCGATCAAAGACAACGAAAAAAGGAAGGAACAGACGCATTATATGTGGGCACAAAAGATTTATGTGATGCATTACAGATACAAAATACAGATGTTACAAGGAACCGTAGCATACATTAAAAATATCTGCTGAATGCAGCATTTTTTTCAGAAGGTTTTAAATGCAGTAAATAAAGAGGAATATTTCTGATTATTATACATTTTAATTTCACCAATAGATGGTAATAAAGGATAGCTGCAGAAATTACGAGCACTCAGTGTTAATGTTGTGCTTAATCCGTCATTTGAGGTCTGTCCCTCTGCCCGACTAACTCCCCTCCCTTTCGCACAGCTCTCCATTGGTTCAGTCCGAGAACACTGCAAGTCATCGGAGGGCCTTGTTCTACTTGACTGAATTGGGTCAAAACAGACCGATAAAGCACTAATGCTACGTTTGGTTGGTTAGCGTAGACAGAATTTATAAAATATAGGCTGTAATGGAGATATTCTAGGAAGAAAATCTATTTAGATTAAGCTTCAAAATTGTCTTCACAAAAACAGTTGCTCGGAAAAGGACATCTGTTGACAACTAATAAACAGATTCTACTAACAAAATGTATCCAATGATTTTTTTTTTTTACTTATTTTTTTTTTTTTTAAAGCTGATGGGGGATAAACTGTCCAAAAAATGAAATAATCTCTGCAAATATGAGCACTGAAAACAGAACTTGACCAGAATAAAGAAGGAAGTCTTATTAATAAAGGGAGCCATGCTCCTCTTGTTTTAACCCATTAAGGACACAACTTCTGAAATAAAAGGGAACCATGACGGAATATTTCCGTCACGTGTCCTTAAGGGGTTAAACCTGCAAGTTAAAACATTGCTGTTCTGAAGCTCATAGTGGCGGCCACTAGAGGTGCTTCCACAGAAATAACTGAGTTAAACATGGCTACTTCAATTAGATGGTCTCAGAGATACCGTCTGATTAGTGCAGTGCAATGTTTTACTGTGCATGCGCACTAGCATCCAAATGCTTTCCTGTGGTAAAGCCAAAGACCGGGGTGACCGCAGAGAAAGTAGCACAGCATGCAGCTGAGAGGTAAGTAAAATTGATTTTTAACCCTTGCAGGAAGGAGGCATCACCAAAACTGGACTAGGACACTATAATATTACTTTTGTATGCCTAATGCTATAGCGTTCCTTTAAGGTTAACGTATGCCAGGATTGCATCAATGGGAGGAGTAAGGTCTATGTGAGGTGCAGCAAGCACAGAAAAAAAAAAATGCATCGTTTCTCGTGAATCAAATTGTCCATTATTTTATTTTGTACATTGGGAGGTATGCCAGTAGGGCAGTGGCAGACTGCTATTTGCCAACACAGTCAGACAATCACGGTCCACTATTGATAGCATGATTTGGTACGGCGTAAAGTGGAGTTTAACTCCCTCACCTTGGCCATCCTGTCGGGGGAAGGGGAGGCTGTGGGTAATGGTGGGCTCCAATTCACTGTTGCATCAATCAAAAACTGTGAAATGGTGCAAGAGTACTCGAGGCACCATAACCATTGCAAAGAAATAATAGGGTTATTGAGCTTAGGGTGTCCCTTTCACAAAACAAAAAATTCTGTACAGAACATACAAGAAAGATAATACCAGTAAATCCTTGTAATTATTTTTCATTATGAACTCCTAGAGGAAGGGACCTCACAAACTTCATTTCAAATGTCCTCAATTAAACCTCTTCAGGCAATGTAGGGATGCACATGGAGAAGACAAAGGATAGGTATATCAAAGGATAAAAGCAAAGAAACAAGAGAAACATATCATCAAAAACCAAAAGAGTGGAGAATCCAGCTTATCGGCTTTAGTCTAATGCTTGCAGGACCACGAACAAAGTGCTAGGCAGGATTTCTCTCACAATCTCTTTGATCAGTATCTGGCAAGTATATAAAAGCAGTGGTAAACTGCATTAGCCAGTTGCTCCTCAGTTTCATGTACAGAGGCACCTTCCAGATCTTGACTATGGGCCTTCCATTTTTGATTCCATGTTTCAATGAAGGCCACTGCCTCCTGCCTCATTTTTCACTATAATCTAAGATGTGTATGCTGAGCAGGGAGTAATGGTAGGAAATTGGTAACAAGAGTTGATAAATAAAATATTAATATATTTCTTGATGTTTAAAAGGGACATGAAGCTGGGGCGGAGCTTGATCGCCACGCGAAGAAGCCGCATGCACCGAAGCTCTGAACGAGTAGCCTTATTTGATGCAATACAGCCGGGCTAAACAGGTACCTCACTTACCCACCCCACGACGCTCGGTGTTGGGGCATCATGTACTCTTCAGGCGCCCATCGCCGAGGCAGGTCCGTCTTGCGGCCTAGCAGTTGATGAGGAGCAGGAGACGCGGCCGGTCTCCCAGCCCTGAAGTCCTGTAGGGCATTGCAGCTCCTTCCCCCACTTTGGACCGGTGGAGGTCATCCCAGTCCACCACGGCATCTCTACAAGAATGGACCTACATACACACAAACCCTGCTGGATAAGCACAGGCAGGAGAAAGCAGTGAAACTCTGCTTACCTAAGGTGGTGGCTGCCGACACCACGACGGCTCCTACAAACGACGCTGACTCCACACACTACGGTGGCAGGATCAGATCTGGGCAGCATCTGCGTGGCGGGAGCCAGAGAGGTCAGTGGAAAGCACCAGAGTGGCAATAATACCAGAGTGGCAATAATACCAGAGTGGCAACCTTCCCCCCTCCCCGATGGTGACAGCGGAGTGGAGAGCACCCTATGACCAGCGGAGATAGGCATCACTCACTCAAGTTCAAAGAGCCGGCAAACAGAATGCTGCGGCAGGGCTAGGCGACAGCCTTTCTCAGCCTAAACCCGGGGCTGAATAATCAAGCCACAAGAGATGGCGTGGAGTGAAAAGCATGAACAGGTACTGGGACTAAACTTACCCTAAAGAGTACACTATGGTTAAAAATAAACAATTATATTTAGTCTTAAAATGCCCTTTAATATTGATTTATAGCATAATTGTTTTGTAAATGTAAATTTCTTAATTTGATGATGCTCCTGATGTCAATACGGACACTTACACTAGGGTGTGGTGCCACAAGGCAGACGTATTCTGTATATTTTTAGATTTATAATCTACTTAGAACCATTTATATAACTGATCGTGTTCTAAATAAACTTACTCAGAGTATTCTATGGAAGCAATCTAATTTCTAAATCGGTTCACTGTAAATTAAAGGATACCTGTTATGCAGCCATTTCATTACAAAACAGGTTGGATGTTGTTTTAATAAAATTCCAAATATGCAACAGCAGTACTTCTGCTGGAAAATGAAACCGCTAACGCCTATAAAGCACACTACATGATCTCACAATAATGTCAACAAAGTGGAAACTATGGAAAGAGGGGAGAAAAAATAAAAATAAAAAGTAGGAAAAAGACTGCCTACTTAGGGATTTCACATAGCACAGCAGGATATGTAATGTTCTGGATAAGGATAAAGCCTGGACTGCAAAAGAAACGTCAACCAGAGAAATTTAGGTCATGCAGAAATCTTCTAAATATTATATGTACAAGGCACGATTTTACCTACTGAAATAACAAATTAACCAGGATTTTCCCTTCTGTGGGTGTTTAGGAAACCTTCCCTTTGGATATGAATAACACAATTCACTAAACATGCTTCCAGCCTCTGTAACTAAATAGATTTATACTCCCCATTTTGTCACGGTTTAGTTTAGGGGAGGGGTGTGCAAACGATAGCCCCCAGATGTTTTAGAGGTACAATTCCCACAATGCTTTGCTAGGGTTTAGAATGGTAAACAACACACCCCCCCTTCTAGATATTGTGAGATCAAGATCTTTTTCTCCTTTTATTAAAAATGATCATGGAAAACAAATTGCCAAATTTTGGTTAATCCTTGGAAGAAGAAACGAATAGGAATAAATCAAAATAAATTAATCGGAAGCCAATAGGCTCATTAGCCCAGCTTTCCCTCTAAAGGCAGTGGAGCTAAAAAAATTTTTGCAGTGCATTAAAGACATTAATAACACGCATGGGGTACCCCGACGGCAATCCTCACGCTTATTTTCATCGCTTATAATATAGGGGTATTAAAGATTACATGCACATTTTTTAAATTAGAAGATGTTGAAGTAGCTTAGTAACAACATAATGTACCACCAGATAGGGTGGCTATTGACTTACTATATGCAGTAAAGAAGCCATGCCGGGCAAGGCTTTATCAAAGTAATGTGCGCATATGAGATGTTGCTTAATTGGTGTACATTATGGAAGAATAAACAAGCTGCATCAAACTGTCTATGGGGCAGACAAAACAATGTTATGAATCTGGCAAAAACTTTCTAGACATGTCTGCAACCTGTTGGGAGGGATAGGAACATAATGGATGCATAGATTCTCGCTTTTAAAGAGACAAAGGCAGAAACTCTGTAGGAGATAAAATGTCGGTCGGTGAAAGGCTCCCACTGCAAAGCCATCAGTGTTTTATAACTACCATGCTAGGCTAGATATGTGTATGGCATGGCCAATTGCATTTAAGATGTATAGCACTGCATGTCTTTCAGGCATTTTTTAGATGAGAAAGCAAACCAACAGTGAGTCGCCATATATAAACAGGCTTGGGTTGCTACATTAATTTGTGCTGGCAAGTGGTCCAATGCAATTCCATTTAGTTTATCACATTGAAGAAACTAAGGCAACAACTCTGTAGGAATTAAAGTAAAATAACAGCAGGTTAAAGGCTATAACTGTACACTTAGCTAACGTGTAAAATCAAGGTCTTATGTTTTAAAGCATGGTGAGGGAGTCCATTTATAGCGGGTTATATGCCTGGCAGGCTCTGGTTGTGTGCCTACGCTCATCCGATCCCCTCTGAGTGCCTAGTACAGTCCCTGGGATCTTTCATCACAGTGGGCTTTACTTGAAGGGCCCTCCCGGCCTGCTGTCTCGGTGTTACCAGCCAGGAGTGTCTCATTGCCAAGTTCAGGAGCCCTCCATTGGAGGGACCCACAGGTTTAGTGTGGGAGTAGAGCGGGCATAGCGAGGCTTGTCGGGACTGTCCGTGTGGTCCTGAGGCCCTCGCTGAGCTGTGAAGCAGGTTCTTTGTGCCAACCGAGTCCGGGCGTGCCCTGTGTCCGGTGGCAGGATTGGCTGCGGTTCTCATCGCTTGGATAAGCCTGCGAAGGAGTCACTGGGTCAGGCCCCATCCCCCAGTGGAGCAATTTATTAAATTTGGATTTTAAAGTTATGAAATTAAGGGTTCACAGCAAAAGGATTATGATTAAGTTTTGTTTTTGGGTGTCACTGCAATACCGTTTACATTCTCTCTAAAATGCAAGGTAGATATTTGAGAAAACAAAAACCCACCCTTGTCCGATCAGCTGGTAGTTCCTAGAAGCAGATACATGCACACAAGTCAGATTTCGACACTTTACAAAACCTTTATCAGATGGATTGTCATTGTAAGCAACTTGGGTGTTTTGTTTTGTTTTTGTGTAAAGAAGTTTTTTTGGAAAGAGTACAAAACAAAACAATTAAATTGTTGAGCTTACACTTAAATTGCCATTGGAGTAATACTAAAAACCTACAGCTATTAAAATGTGCATATATATTTGGGATAGTGCACAAGTAACTTTTCTTTAATCTGTATACACCTGATTTTGGCCCATTCCTAAGCAGGCCTGTACTAAGAACAAGCAATATAATGAACTCACTCTCACTGCAACCATTTAATGCAGTTATGCAACACTGAATTCTGTGCAGCTCTCGATAAAAAAGGCTGAAATGTATGTGCATAGATGCAAAATCTGAAATGATCATGAAGAAAAGACGGGTCAGAAGCGGTAAGGTGTATCCATCAGGCTGATTTTGTACATCTGCTCTGCACTGTATACCTGCCAACAAAAGAAATCAGCGCAGCCAAATACTTTTATAACTGAACCGGCTGGCTTCAAAAACACATTCCATAACATATTGCTGGCAAGCCTTTACTTCTTCCGATCATGTACCAATCCAAATCATGCGGTAATAGTTATCAGCAAGTTTCCCGACTATTATCCTGCTTCTTGCCACAAGCTTGACAATGCCTTCTCTCCTAGAAACGGTCTAACTCAGGAAAACAAAATGTTCCACTTCTATTATCAGAAATGTAGCTCAGCTTTCCCCTTACACTTCCTGCAATCAAAATTACTGGGTTCTGAACGTCTAGTGCCTAAAACAGGATTCACACTGCTAAATCAACTTTAATCCATGACCTATTTATCTCACGCTCCCTAAACCTACTTGCACTAACGGAAACACGGCTCTCTCCCTCTGATACTGCTACCCCTGCCTCACTATTCTTTGATGGTCTTCACTTTACCCACAACCCAAGACAAGCTGAGAGTAAAGGTGGTGGCGGTGGATTTCTGCTTTCACCCCACTACTCCTTTAAAATTCTGCCCACCCCCCCCCTCCCTCTCTACCGTATATCCGCGAGTATAAGCAGAGGTACCTTATTTTACCACAAAAAAAAACAGGGAAACTTATTGACTCTAGTATAAGCCTAGGGTGGGAAATGCAGCAGCTACTGGTAAATTTCAAAATAAAAATAGATACCAATAAAATTACCAATATTTTGTACATTTACCATTTATTAAGGTAAATGCACAAAATATACATGCCAGAATATATATGTGTGTGTGTGTGTGTATATATAATGAATGCAGAAAGTGTGTTTATATAATGAATGCAGAAAGTGTGTGTGTATATAATGAATGCAGAAAGTGTGTGTGTATATAATGAATGCAGAAAGTGTGTGTATATAATGAATGCAGAAAGTGTGTGTTTGTGTGAATGCAGTGTGTGTATAGAATGCAAAGTGTGTGTGTGTAAACTGGGTGGGGGAAGGGCATTTTTATAAATTTTTAAATATATATATTTTTTTGTTAACTTTTTTTTTTAGTCCCCCCTCCCTGCTTCATACTTGGCCAGGTAGGGGGGTAAGTCAATCCCTGGTGGTCCGGTGGCATGGGCTGTGCAGTTAGGGCCCGCAGAAGCTCTTACTTACCTTCCCAACAGCTCCCTTCAGCTCCGCTGTGTAACTCTCGCAGCCTGCGTGCCGTGCGGAGCATTGCCATGGTAACCAACGCGAGATTTAGACAGGTGAGCTGAAGGGAACTGCTGGGAAGGTAAGTAAGAGCTTCTGCGGGCCCCCCCAGGATCGCCGGGTTTGTATTATTGGCAATGCAATTGGGACCCTCACTAGAGTATAAGCTGAGGGGGGATTTTTCAGCATTAAAAATGTGCTGAAAAACTCTGCTTATACTCGAGTATATATACGGTAATATCTGCAACACTCCATTTCCTCGCTCTCTGATCACCACTTCTTATCGCTTGCTCTCGTTTACCCCTCACCCAACAACCTCAGCCTAATGCCCTCAACTCAGAAGGAACCTTAATTCTATTGACCTCCAGCAGCTGTCAGCTGATATTGATTCACAACTGCTATTCATCCCTTCCCTCTCTGGCCATGTCCACATATAACACTATCCTCACCTCAGCCTTGAACGCTACAGCCCGCTCCAAAACTTGCACCCAGCTGTGGCATACTAAATCAACACGCTACCTGCAAAGTAGGTCCCGTTGTGCTGAACGCTCCTGGAGGAAATCTCGCACCCAGGCAGACTTTCTCCATTATAGATTCATACTGTGTTCATACAGCGCAGCCCTTGCCTAACAGTCATACCTTTCCTCTCTCATTAGTTCATGCTCCCGCAATTCCTGGCGTCTGACACTTTTAACTCTTCTTCGCCCTGCTGTGGCCACCCCCCAAAATAACCTTACAGCCGATAGCTTTGCATGCTACAAACAAGATTGAACAACTAAGGAAAGAATCTCTCCACCTTGCCGTTCTCTTTCTCAACCACATGTAGATCTTGCCTTTTCTACCCTTAAGACTTTCTCCCTGGCTACTGAACAAGAGGTGGCTGCGCTTCTCCTTTCTTCTCGCCCTATCACTTGCCCGCTCGATCCTGTCCCATCTCACCTTATCAGATGTCTCTCCCACTGTCTTGTGCCTTCCTTAATACACATCTTCAACTGCTCTCTCTCTTCTGACGTTGTCCCTGTTGACCTTAAACATGCCACTGTAGTACCTATCCTGAAAAAAACAAAAACGATCTGTTGACCGGTCCTCCCCCTCCATCGTCCCATACCCCTGCTCCCTTTTTCCTCAAAGTGTCTGGAAAGACTTGTCTTTACCCATATGTCTCACTTCCTCAATTCCAAATCTCTCCTCGACCCTCTTCAATCTGGCTTCCGTCCTCTCCACTCTACTGAGACTGCTCTTATCAAAATTTATGAATGACCTAACCGCAGCTAAATCCAAAGGCCACTAACCCATACGAGTTCTTCTTGACCTCTCTGCTGCCTTTGACACCGTTGGTCATGCGCTCCTTCTTCAAACACTCGGTCTCTGTGACTGTCCTCTTGTGGTTTTCCTCTTATCTCTCCTAATGCTCATTCAGTGTCTCCTTTTCTAATGACACCTCCTCCTCTTGTCCTGTCTCGTTTGGAGTCCCCAAGACTGTCTTTGGTCCCCTTCTATTTTCTCTTTATACAGCACTTCTTGCGGATGTCGCCCTTCCTATGGAAAAGCCTGCCTACGGCCATCAGACTCTCCCCTAGTCTTCAATCGTTTAAGAAGTGCCTTAAAACCAATCTCTTAAGGAAAGCTTATGGCCTCCCAGAGTAACCTCTACCTCACATTACTTTCTCTTGCGCTCTCCTAAAGTGTAGCACTCTACTCTCTCCTCCAGCTCTGCTTCACTCCCATCTTATTTGATTGCCATTTCCTGTCCTATGGTGTTTTATACCCCACCTCCTATAGACTGTAAGCTCGTTTGAGCAGGGTCCTCGTCAACCTATCGTTCCTGTACCCAAGTTTTCTTGTAATTGTCCTATTTATAGTTAAATACCCCCTCTAATATTGTAGAGCGCTACGGAATCTGTTGGTGCTATAGAAATGGCAATAACAACAACAACAACAACAAGGAACTAGAGAGAATGGCACATTTTAGAATAAACAGAGCTTAAAGAGACACACCAGTCACCATAACGACATCATCCAAATTAGATAGTTATGGAGCTAGGAGACCCCCCACACTCTTTCCTTAAGGGGTTAAACCATTCTAGAATGGCTAGCAGGTCACGTGAGTGGCACCCAGTTTTTTGAATCTCTGGGTCAGGAAGGGGCTTAGAGAAGTCACTCCAAGTCAGGGGTGCCCAATAGGTAGATCCCCAGATGTTTTAGAACAACTCCCATGATACTTTGCATGCCTTCAGAATGCTTTTAGAATGACAAAGCATCGTGGAATGTGTAGTTTTAAAACATCCGGGGATCTACCGTTTGGGCACCTCTGCACTAAGCCAATCAGTAGCGCCCCATTGATAGATAAAAAAAATTTTTTTTTTTTTTAAATCAATCAATGGGTAGCTAATGCTTGGCTTACAGTGTGTGTTAATGATCACTTTTGAACGGAAAAGCTTGCAATTCAAGTTTAGCGAATAAAAGGTTACTTCAACCACCATGACGACTTCTGCATTTTTAAGTGGTCATGGTGCAAAAAACCTATATGTGCAGAGTAAGAAATGTCACACACACACACAGATATTTAGTATAGCTGCCGGAGGGGAGACTCGATGCCTGGCAGCTTTCATTAACCAGCCTAAAACAAGAATTCTGAACTGGCCAATGACAAAACAGTTTGGCCGCTGAGTGGGCAATGGAGACAGGCTGCTTCTGGCATCACAACCTTGTAAAAATGCCAACTTTGGCCGTGCAGGCATTTGCAACCTGCATTTCCCATGATACCACCTTTTTGCCATCACTAACAACCTAAAAGCATTTAAAAAAAGGGGGGGGGAGGAGGAAGGAGAAGATTAGGGAGATATCAAATAAAAAAGTAAATTTTGAACAAAAGGAAAAAAGGAAGGGGAAAACAAAACATAAAATCCAAAAAAGAAACCTGCAGTATCTTGTGGTTCAGAAAGCACCTGGCCACTTGTATGGTCACGTGGTTTAAATTCACATGCACTAGGTTTGTTCTGTTCTACAATACGGAAACACATTATGTACCATCAGAACATAATGTTCTCGATCAATTTCGCATAGCAGCTGAATAGCTCAGAGCCCTCGACAAAACACAACCTCCCTCACTTCCTGAAACTCCCACTAAGCTTTCCAAAAATCTCTACTTCAAAACAACCACCAGCAATGCATATAGCAGACACGTTAAATCTGCAATGATGGCTTGCACAGCACTGTGCCTAAAGAAAATTAAAAATAGAATAAAACGTTTAGCGTGTTGACATAACGGTTAAGTACGAAAAAGCAGTCAAGTCACAAGCTTTCGAGTTCAGACATGCTCAGATATTTAATGGTCACAAGTCTTAAGTGGGTCAATTGATGGTTATTGGCTGTCGAGTTATATGTTCGGAGAGCATTTTTTCCCCCATTATGGACGGTTAGCCACTAGAAACAAGACCGAAATCGAATAAACCTCAGATGTTTCACAGTAAATTGAATGTGAAAAATGTACAGTAAAGCATGCAACATTGCACAGAATGAGGTGTATACACGATACATTTTTTTACAACAGCAGTGTTTATGCTGCAAAAGACTTCATTTAAATTCCTGTAAACTGGATTAGCACGCAGAGTTCCAATCAAGGGGCCTGCATATACTGCGTGTCTTAACAACACGAAGGATAATAATTAGAGCTGCCCCATACTCTCAAGCTTTTAACCCCTCACATTCACTCATGTGTGAGGAGTTTAAGGTGTAAACTATTGAGGAGATACAAAGGCGGGCGGGTTATCTTGACAAATGATTTTCATATTTAATCTCAAAACCACAGCCAAGGAATGATTGAGTGCGGTGGGAAGTCGTTTCAATTAATAACCATCAGTCACGCGTGGTGTTAACCCCTTAGTGACCAGGCAGTTCTGCTATGCGTTTCTCCCAACGTACATTACCCGCTCTTCTAGCAAGTGCACTAATACAGATTATAAATAGTTTTCAAGATTAGACTTTCCTTGGATACCTTCTATAAGTATGCGTAGCACAGTACAATACAATATTCAATACCAAAAAAACTTCCATTAATTTTGGGAAAATCTAGGATAAATATTGTAATGCTTAAATTACATTTCTAAAGCTAAATCTTGGCAAATTTTGGTTTGCAGAGACTATAAATTAACAGGATGTGTGGGGAAAAGGATTAAGATAGATAGAACTGATATTTAGAGTTAAGTCACCGTGAGCCTGACTAGAAACGGTGATATAAAATGAAAGAATTTTATTTGGCAAGTATCACGGTCACAAATTTAACCCAAGCACACCCAAGGCTGGGTGCAGTGTTACTAGCACTCCCCTTAAAGGAACACTATAGTTAGCAGAACAACTACAGCTTAATGTAGTTGTTCTAGTGTCTATAGAATGTCCCTGCAGGCTGAGCACTGTAAACTCTGCCTTTCAGAGAAAAAGCAGTGTTTATATTATTGCCTAGAAACACTTCTAGTGGTCGTCACTCAGACAGCCACTAGAGGTACTTCCTGTGTTAGTGCTGCACAGTGTGCATAATCTACATTCAGCGTCTCCACACACTGCTTGGAAGCACTGAACATTCCCCATAGAGATGCATTGATTCAATGCATCTCTATGAGGAGATGCTGATTGGCGTTTTGCCGCTAATGCGCAATAGCCTCCCAATTCTTTCCCGTAGAAATGCATTGGATTGGCTGAGATAATCAAGACTGATGATCTCAGCCATGGAGATGAAACCAGCAGTGGCAAGACTGGCGTGGCGTGGGAGAAAAAATAAATAAATTAGTTTAATCACTTTTTTTACTGCTATCTAAAGGGGGCCGGCGAACTAAATATTTTAATACTATAGTGTTAGGAATACATGTTTATATTCCTGAGAATATAGTGTTCCTTTAAATAGTCTGAAGATTCATTCTTACACACACTTGGCAACATTTTAAATGGTGCTTACTTAAACATTCTATGTTTATATAAAAAAGGGTTTTCGGCTTGTGTTGTTGATTTGTATTTAGCACACTTCTCAGCTCATTACGTAAGAATTCAAAAGAATCAACAGAGACTTTACTTGGCTGGCCTGTAGGAAACCTTTGCAAAAAGTGAAGTCCAAACTTGCTGTATTGTTCTAAAAACCATATAGCTGCTGCTTAGCCTATAGCAAATATATACAGAATAAAAGACTGCAAACGATTCAACAGAAACTAAGATAAATAAAATAAATGCAAACACAACACACTCTTAAAAAAAACAAAACAAAAAAAACATAATTGTTCTACTACACAACAGTTATTTTCCAAGCTCTAGAGATCAATGGATTAAAACCTTTAAGCACACAGTTAATTTATAAAAATGTTAACTGTGGTTTTGGGAGCACAATAAAGTTTAAGCTCACAGAAAGCTTTATTGACAAAGTGTCGACACAGGAATTGTAAATTCAGCCAAATAGACGATTGTCTCTTAAAGAGCGCAGTCCAAATCTAGGACCGAATGGTAATACGCACTAAATATATAAAGCATTAGATTATTGCTAATACACTAGACTGAGATTTATGGAGTGTGTGAAATCTCCCAGGAACCATGCAGCAATGCAATGTGTTATTCGGTACATGCTGTTCTCTATTTGAACATCACACAATATATTGCTATTTAAAAAAATAATATAATTATAATAAGAGGAGACACCGCACTCAATTAGAAATATTTAATATGCAAAAACTTTATTATTAGTGATAAAAAATAAATAAGTGATAAAACAAGATCGCATAGCAACAAGTGTACTAAACATTAACCATGAACTCTGAAAAGTTCACTAAGCACAGGTAAGTGATAAGCAACGCAATATAGTTTTTAATCTTTAGAGCCAAATCCCATCTCTAATATACACAAAAAAGGGAGCAAAACAGAGAACAGATAACTAATGGTGCAAAAAGTAAGAAAAAAAAAAAAAGGAAAATGAAAACATGCAAAAAGAAACATTAAATACAACAGAAAAGGGGGGTGGGGCTTGACCAGCATGGTAAGCGGTCGCACATTGCATGAGCTCCAGCAATTTTTCCAACGTTCTAGCCCTTTTTGCGAGTTCTTTGCTTACAAATCTGGCTCTACATAACCCAGCCGACTTGCCTCAAAGCTGGGGATCCTAGTCAGCGTTCCTGAAAGTCGACACTATCGCAGTTCCAGAACGATTCTCTGAAGCAACCTTACAGCCTAACTGCGGCCTGGTGCTGTAGGTGAGAGGGAGGCAGATGACCCATCGACCCATGACCCAGGAGTGCACACAGTGGACTGCCCTGTGACACCCAATATGCGAGGCCTGATCCCAACTTTCTGGCAACATTTGGGAGCGGTTGAGGCAACGTGAAGAATCCAGAATGAAGAACACAACAAGCGTTTTGTTGGTGGCTGCACCAGGTATTGCCCTCAGTTGCCCCCCACTAGAGAGGTCTGATAGCCCTTCTAAGGTGAATCACCCCGGACTGCACCGGAGCCCTACAGGGCAGGGATGCGGAACCTTCGGCCCTCTAGACGTTATTACCTACATCTCCCTTGATGCTTTGCTAGCCTTATGGCTCAAAGATAGTGATGTCGCGAACGGTTCGTCGCGAACTCCAGGCAGCAGACACATCCCGGCCAATCTGCAGCAGACCCTCCCTCCCAGATCCTCCCACCTCCTGCGAAAAGTTCGCGACATCACTACTCAAAGAGCATTATGGGAGACATAGTCCAAAACATCTGGAGGGCCGAAGGTTCCACACCCCTGTCCTAAGGGAATCTGTAGGGCTCCTGGGTGCAGTCCGGGGCTATCAGACTTTGGGGTCGCAGGGAAAGAGTTCAGTTATTGTAAGTGCATTTGTAGAATTTAGTAATTCTTTTAGCCTAGCAATATATTCGGTGCCCTTGAAGGCACAGACTTCGGGTTAGATATCATTGATAGATATTGGTATCGTTCCACTACTAGACATAGACTGAGTTGACACTCTAAACACCCTTTTGTTACAGACTTGGGGCTTCTACATGCTAGATTTATCTATAAGTACAACCTATATCAGAGTTCGGTTAACCTAACTTTTAGCTAAGGTACCTAAATCTATACTATATTTCATTATTCTCATGCACTATTATTAATATTTCGTTGTGTTTTGATTGCTAAGCTGTGGTGGTAGATCGGTATTTATCAGCCAGTTTGGACTCATCCAAACTAGACATTTAGGCGATATCTCCCTTTTCTCTTCCAAGTGTGCTTTTTGCCTCACAAGATACATTTAAATTTTCTTACAGTTGTTACAGACAGCTACATGTCTCTAGTTGGTTACTTGTTTCCAGTTATGGACATTACTGAAATGTTACTAATTTCTTGTTATCTTCTGATAAGGAAAATTAATGGCTTAACTTTAAATTTCTAGAATCTACCGTTGGTCATTTTATCTTCTATTTCACACTAATAAGAATTTCCTTAGTGAATGTACTTATAATATAGAGCAAAATCTTCTGTACTTACTTCACTCTCCCTTGTTTTCCTGTGTTTAAAGGTTCTTTACCTTTTTAAACCATACCTATTAAATGTTAATGTAGTAATATAGTCTACACACAGTGCAAATAGTTTTTTTTCCAATAGGTGTGATGTAATAATTGCATTGCAGATGCTGGAACTCAGCATCTGCAATGTTTTCTGAAAAAAGTAGGGTTTGCCGATCCACATTGCCTGATAAAAAGTCCAGTAGCAATGCACCAAAACCACTTCACAAAGGTAAAGTAGTTCTAATGATTAGAGTGTCCCTTTAAGGAGTTAACCGTCTGGGGACATGTATGTCCTCCTATCTATATCTTGTCAATCACTGAAGCAGATATAAGGAGCATCTTCCTAAACAACAGATTAGATTAGCCTTGAAGAGAGTGACAGTTCCTTGCAATTATTAGGAGATGCAGTAAGAAGATATTGGCATCAAAAATATATAGGGTTTATTCATTTGACCTCATCTCACCATCTGTAAGCAATCTGTAACCTAAAAATCACAAGTGATGGCTCACAATGAGTCTATAAGAAAATAACGCAAACAGCACTAACGAAAAGCGACTGTACAGCCGCCATAAAACCCAATCAAAAATGATCATATTACAGATTTTCCCATTTTAGAACAGTAACAAACACAGTATCTAAATGGTTTTATTGAACTTCACCATAATGCTGCACAATTTCTCCCCACCACTTGTTTGAACATTTGTTCCAAGATCAAGGGGTATTCACATAAAAAAAAAAAATCTTTACATTACAAGAACAAAGAACGGTTTCTTTCACGAGTATGCAGCATGGGTGGAGAAAACACACGAGTGTGCAACATCTGATTATCACATATCACTACAATGGATGTTGGACTCCAATTGGTTCAATACACTAAACAGAGAAGCCAGGAGAGAAAAATCTTTCCGGACTAGGTGGGTAGGTAGTTTGGTATTCTATCATCACCAAACTACTCTCAAACTCAGAGATGGAAACATTTTTTAACCTATGTATTAAATGTATTCCACGATACACCCTAGTCTAGGGGTAGGCAGCCTTCGGCACTCCAGATGTTCTGGATAACATCCCCCATAATGCTGGCAAAGCATCATGGGAGGTGTAGTCTAAAACATCTGGAGTGCCGAAGGCTGCCTATGCCTGCTGTAGTCTAATCTAAGACGTGCAGATCACCTATCCTACTACCAGATACTGTTTCGTAAATGCAAATACGATCATTTTAATTATAATATTTAATACTCACAGCCATAATCAACTCAAAGCTCTGCTTGTACACCCGGACGGGTGACTGGTATTTTTGCACCATGGTGGCTACGACTTCTGGTTCTTTACAAACCTAAAACCTAGAAGCAAGAGAAGAGAGGATTAAAACGCGTGTTAAAGGAAAGCTTGACATGCTATGGAAAGTGGCCAAAATGTTTAAAGGGACATTCTAGGCTGGTTTCTGGGAGTTGTAGTTCAATAATGAACTGTAACATAACCTACATATTGCATTAAATGAACATCGGGAGGATTGTTCTTTCCAAACTCTGATGTGTAATATTTTATAAAGCAATTTACTGCTCACCGAAGCATGAAATCATGGCGGTAACAGTAGGTACATAATCCATCAGCACAAAATCGGGAGCAATATAAATGTCATTATTAAATAAGCAGCCACTCTCAGATGTTGGTCAATGTTTCCGGCCCAAGATTTAAAAAAAAAAAACAAAAAACTTTTTACTGAAGTTATAAAGAACAAAAATGACATAAATAAAATTAAAGTTTTGAACTAAATAAGCATTTTGTTTAGTTTTAACATAACATGTAGGGAAATCAATATTAGGGAAAAGGAAAGTCCTAACCCCTTAAGGACACATACATACAATTTGGGGCCAATACATGCCAGTGCAGAGGTTATGCTTCTAGCAATGTGATAGTGCCATTCATGGACTCTGGGTCAAACCGTTTGAGCTCTTTGACCTAAGGGTGTACACCTGAAGCACCCTCGGGTCAGCCCTTGTTTGCGTCTTGCTAATGCAGAAGTTCTACTTTTACACCAGAAGTATTAATTTCACCCACATTTAGACAGCAAATTACTGGGTAGTAGTCTTGGGCCAAGGCATACACAAATATTACTTCTTGATAAAAATGCTCTAACTCAGGAATTGGAGAGGTAAACTGTTGATGACATGACAATTGTATAAATTGGTAAACGGCTACATATTCCAATTTGCAGAAATTATCAGACTTAAATAAATTACAATGTTGACAAAATGAGTTCCAACTTTAGTTTGATGGCTGCATTGCAATTATTCAAGAGCTACATACTGTGAAACAATATGTACAGCGTGAAGCTTAAGCCACAAAGGGGTTACACAACCAAGTCCTTGCAATATTTCCGTGTGTTAAAGTAGAGCAATGTAATCCTTTAACTAGAGGAGGAGGGGCTGCGGAAGACTTATGGTTTGTTAAAATACTGTAGACACAGTTATCAATAAGATCCATGCAGGACAGCTGCAACCGTTTTAACAGATGGTATACAAAAAGCTAGTGATCATCGCAAAAGCAGTATGTTCATATACATCATGCAGGGACCAATCACTTATAGAAATCTTAGGAACAAATAATTCTCAAACAGAGAAATTCAAAAGGGGTTTAGCAAAGCACCCATGGGTCAGAGTCTAGAATTTTAAAAAACAACTGAGAAACCAAACTAATGATCCTACATGTACACAAAGCGCTTGCCCTTAAAGAGTTAATGGTTTTAAATTCTAAAGGGTCGTTGGGGTCCAAAAGTTACTAAATAGTTGTGCAAGGATTAATTGTCAAATGTATTTGATACAAGGGACACACTGCTAGTGCATGGCGTGGGGACAAAGCAGTGCATTTAAAGTCTTTTCTTTGTTACACGTTCATCCTCAACAGAATTACTCGGGGAATACAATCTTTAACATAAAGACTTTCTACTACATGAAGGGTTTTTTATTTTTAAATTATAGTGGCACAAATATATAAAAGTTTTGCTTACGAATGTTTGCAAAGGATCGATAGGCATTTTAAGCAGGGTAGATACTCAAAATGACAGCATGTAAACATTGCTTTTACGTAGGCATTATAGAAACCAAGGAATCCACATTTCATTTAAATTGCAGGTTGCATATAGTTTCTAGACTTGTACACAGCGTGGAAGGGATGGCTCATTCCTTTACAGTCTGTGTGAAACAGAAGGAATGGCTGGAACCTTGGTAAAAGAAATCCTCAAAAAAGACAGGATGTGTGGACCTGATTCATGGGATTATTAAACTCATTATGGATCAGACGTTACCACTGTGGTCATGACGATCTGGTTGCTAAAGTGTCTGTGCTAGCATAAAATGTCCTGTTTTTTTTTTTTTTGTAAGCACTGTCAGCTCTTGAAAGCCCTGGTAAGGGACCAAGATCAGGAATGGATGAATGAAAATAGGTCAGAGCTTTCCAGTTCTAAAACATACCGTCAAGAGTAGAGGATTCTACAAATGAGAATTTCAAGTTTATCATCACATCTAACATTACAATATTATGTTGTGGTTAGGGATGGCACCCTCCTGGGGTAAGTAGTCAAACAACTTGAGGATGGTTTGACAACTTACCTGGGGTCCGCCAGGTGCCTGCAGCTGCATGCACTCTAGCCACAAGCTCCTGAACTGAGCCAAGCCTGGCATTGCAGGGCTTACCGCATTGGCTGAGAGAACACAGCTGTCACTCTGAGCCAATCAGTGGACTCTGCAAGACAGGGTTAAAGGGACACTATAGTCACCTGAACACCTTCAGCTTAATGAGGTTGTTCAGGTGAGAACTATAGCTCCCTGTAGCCTCTCTCATGTAAATACTGTATTTTCTGAGAAAATACAGTGTTTGCATTGAAAGCTAGGAACACCTCCAGTTGCAGTCACTCAGATTGAACCAGAGGGACTTCGGAGTTCATGGAGGCATAAAATGCCTCCATCCACTCAGATCTGCTGTCAGCAGAGCATAGGGCAGCACTGTGCACAGCATCCTGTGATTCAGTGTCTCCTCCCTCTGCATGCAGACAGTGAACTTTCCTCATAGAGATTCATTGATTCAATTCATCTCTATGAGGAGATGCTGATTGGCCAGGGCTGCGTTTGAATCATGCTGGCTCTGCCCCTGATCTGCCTCCTTGTCAGTCTCAGCCAATCCTATGGGGAAGCACTGTGATTGGATCACGCTACAACATGTCAGCAGACTGCTTGTTTTTCTGAGTCTAACAGCATGCAGAGTTACCGCTTCAGGCTTGAATACAGTAAAAGTTTTACTATATTTATGGAGGCATGAGGGGTCCAGGGGGGCTAGCTGGTGGTGTTAACACTATAGGGTCAGGAATACATGTTTGTGTTCCTGGCCCTATAGTTATCCTTTAATACCAGTGGAGCTAGTGGACGCTCCTTCCAGCACTAAGGGAGGTGGTGACCAGCATCAAGCAAACACCAGGTAAGTTGTCAAACCAAACTGAGTACTTACACCAAAAGGGAGGCAAACCACTGTTGGCACCATACCCACTACAGCTTTGTATTTCTTACACTAAACCGTTCCTTTAAGGAAACATTAAAGTCAACCAGACCAATTCAGCTCTACAAAAGTTGTCTGGGTGCAGTGGTTTGGTTATTTTAAAAGGTAAATCACTGACATTTTGCAGATGGGCAATGTTCTGTGGGCACACTGCCATAGGTTACCGGGCAGCAATGCAGAGTAGATACCTGCCTGCCCAAAAAGGCAGATGGCCTACTCTGCTTTTGTATCGGGGGGGAGGGATCTGGGAAGCAGCTCTCCTGTTCTCCCCCGAGCAGGCTGTGTGGAGCATTGCTGTGCGTTCCCATGGTAACGCTCCACACAGCATTGCGCAGGAGGACAGGAGAGCTGCAGCTATACACATACTTACCACCACCGGACCACCAGGGCTGGCTGTGTCCCCCCCTCCTTCACCAAAGGTAAGAAGAAGGGGGGGGGGAATAAAGATTTGATGTATTTTTATTTATTTATATGTATCTTTACCACCCCTCTCCCCTCCCCCACACCTCAATGCAGTATGTGTTGTATTCAGCAGTCTGTGTTGTATGTATTTCATTATTTGAAGATACTAATAAATTTAAGCTTAATTTTATCTATTATTTATATCATTATTTAAAGGTTTTAATTGCCGTGTTGGCACTTTGAGGAAAAAAAAGTTAGCATGTGTTGCGGTTTGGACACTCTGGCTCAAAAAGGTTCGCCATCACTGCTCTAAGGTCTGTCCTATGGACAATCACTAGAAGCACTGGATTCATTGCTTTTCTATGAGAAACATTGGATGCTGTGAGGAACACTGGAATAGACATTACCTGTTGGAGGCCATGCCTTCTCAATTATTTCACTGGGGGCAGAGAGTTGAGCAGCACAGAGGGAGTCTCAGCAATGTAAACAGGTGAATAAAACTATTCATTTTAGTAATCTTTTTTGGTCAAAAAAGGGTCAAATGTGTATAGCTACGGACAATATAGCATTAGGAATATAGGTCTGCATTCCTAACGCTAGTGGCTTTTTTTTTGTATTTTGAGGTCGTTCATTAACCCCTTAAAGAGCTAATGGTACAACACACTGTCAATGTCAACAAGGACTTATTTAGCTTTGGCAATTGTATAAAGTCCTACAGTAAGTATCTAAGTGACTTATACCCTTTGTGTCACTATACTCAACTGCCTCTAGCACGTAAATTCATCGAGCAAGGCCCTCAACACCTCTGGCTCCTGTGTGTCCACAAGTCTGGTTACAATTACATGTCTGTTAGTCCACCCATTGTACAGCGCTACGGAATTTGCAGGCGCTACATAAATAATAAAAATGACATCATCATCAGCCCTTATATGGTTAAGTCCAACATATTTCATTACTATAAAATATTGTCAATCTATTTTTTAATACTACATAAAATGGGATCTGTTAAGGTCTGTCGGATACGAAATGCTTCTGATGCATCAGGTACACTTAGTGTTTCTTTGGGACAGATTTCAATTAAAGAATTCTGCATCTATTAATATAAACCCAGGAATTTACAGTGTATTCATCTAATGATCGCCCCCGTACTATACCAGTTTGGTATAACATTTGAAATTGCTGCACGAACTGTTCAAATTATACATGTGGAGACAAAGAAAAAATGACTGCTTCCATCAGGCTTTACAAAGAATGTGGGATAAGTAGTACATGTTATTGCATCTGGAGAGTAATATTACTGGTTGACAGATAAGGTAGTTCGCAGGATTGGGGCCCATGTAATGGAAGGTATGTGAAGCATTCATGTAGATCCAGCTATTGGACCACCCACACATTATAAACTCAAAGCTCTGCATGGCTTACCCAACAGAAGAATGCAGATTGTCATAGGTTATGCGCAGGCACAGGGGGGCTTTGTGTAACTCATCTGAAAAGAGACAAGAAGCAGTAACTATGAGACATACAGTTTATAAAATCATTGTCCGATATGGAAGAAAAAACAAATATGAATGTTAAAGTGAATATAAACAAACACTTTACTCATACAGATTACAGGATAGGAATCCTGACTGTGATATAAAACAAGAATTTAAACTACGCAGTAAGCCTGCCCATTACAGGCTCTTAAGTTTACCGATTTGCTATACAGGGTAGCTTTATGTGTTTAAAACATGATCATCAGTGAAACAAATCTACAATCGGCATCAAACAGCAAATGTACCCTCATGATCTAAAAAGCTGGCAAACAGACTTTTAAAGACTGAAGATTGCCAGATTCAAACATATTTGCCAAGCAGCATACTGGACTTTAAATAAAGGAATAAATAGCGGTAAACGTGGTCCTACGAATACTTGTGCATGCTGTTCCTCTTTTTATGCACTGTTTAGTGCACCTGCCCCCCATCTTAATCTTATACACGTCATTCTTTTGTGAATGGAAATCATGCACTTTGGTATAAAGAGCCCACAAGCCAGTAATAAAGTGAATAGGGTTGAGTTAGGGATAACTAAGTGAAAAGGTCTTGGGAACAATTATAGATCACAAACTAGGCAACGGTATGCAATCCCAATCTGCCTTAGCAGAAGCTAGTAAATTGCTTTTGAGCATTTAAAAACAAACAAAAATTTAAAAAGAGAAGGGGGGGTTATTGATTCATGTGATCAAAATATAAATTTTAGTTAACCAGTTTTGGTAGGTACTAACCACTGCATACAAAACACACCCCACAACACTTGCCGTTTTGGAGATGCTTGGACCCAGTCGTCTAGCCATCACTATTTAGCCCATGTCATAGTCACCCAAATCTTTTTGTTGCCCTTTTATCCAGCTTTCAACACATGGCATTCAAGAACTGACTGTTTACATCCTGCCTAATATATCTCCCCCCTTGACAGGTGCAAGTTTAACAATATAACAAGTGTTATTCACTTCACCTGTCAGTGGTTTTAAATGTTGTGGCTGAACATTGTATATACAGACAGTTTTGAAGTTTCTAAGTCTGCAGTTTGTGTAGTTACCACGGCACAAACTAGTAAATGGATGAAACCTTAAACCAATAAAATAAAGCCTCTATTTAACCTTGTTTTTCAAAATGTTTACAAGTAAATCTAAACAGTATTATCCACGCAAAACGCAAGATCTTGTAATGGCAAGACAAGCATAACTTATAGCTGATATGAACATGTAGTTGCAGTAGTATTGCAAACAGCTGTATACCTAAAATGAACAGAATAAGGACAGATGGGGACATTGTGTTTTCACCATAAACTTTGTTTCCAAATCTACTTTGTTAGTAAAGCCAGGCTTCCAAAACATGTGAACTGTCTACTTTCCAGATAAATAGGAAATTCAACCGCCAGGTAATCAATATATTACTACTCGTTTATGGATTTAAAATGTTAGTCCTTATCACAAAGCTAAGCCCAAAGCACACACAAAGCAGCTGTAATGCTAGCAAACACACCGGCCCACAATTATCCATAGACAGTCTTCTTTACAAAGTGATAGGATTTTGGTGAAATTTTAAAGGAAACTGCTTAACTCCTTAGCAAACAACCAAGCTGTACAGGAAAGATAAGAGCCTGCACACTTTATATTATTATTATAAATATAAAGAGAGTGTGTTTTCCACAAGCGTAGAAGGCATGCCATATTTTTCAGGCAGGAAATAAAGACTTTTTCTGCATAGTTTATGCTCTAAACTGAAAAATGAGAATACATGTTTATGTTTAAAAAAAAAAAAAAAAAAATTTTAAAAATAGGAAAATCCTCCAAGACAGCTATGTTTTCCTATTTTGTCCTAGAATTTGCTTGTCACGTTGCCACATTTGTGAATAGCCCCATTTGTGTGCAATTTTGGATGAATTTGTGATGCAGATATACACGACCTTCATTCCCAGGTTTAAACCTTGGATCTGCGCTAATCTTGGGACTTCACTGCCTAACTATGACAGCAGGTATATCTCTTTAAAAGACTGTACCAACAAGTGGTTTATCCCCCTCTTAAAGTGACTAAGCACCAAAACCACTTCACCTTAATGTAACAATTAGTGATGTTGCGAACCGTTCGCGAACTTCCCGCGAACGGCTCGCCACGAACCGTTCGCAGCGAGCTCCGGTCAGCTGACACAAACCCTGGCCAATCTCCAGAAGACCCTCCCTCCCACCTCCTGGACAGCATCCATGTTGAAGCTGCCTTCAACATGGATGCTGTCCAGGAGGTGGGAGGGAGGGTCTGCTGGAGATTGGCCGGGATGTGTCAGCTGACCGGAGCTCGCCACGAATGGTTCGCGGTGAGCCGTTCGCAGGAAGTTCACGACATCTCTAGTAATATTGTGATTCCTGAGAAATGGTTACGCTTTTCCAGACAACCAGTACTGTACTCTCATTTAAGAACATTTACTGAAACGGCTAAACCAAAACATGAATCCTAGAATTGCAAGGAGTTTAAAATAAAATCCTTTAAAAGTAGCTGATACATTCAGAAATGTTAAGAAACATTGATGCCAGTTTATCTGTGGTATATTCAAGTTTAGCTTCAGCACTGATTGAAACCCTAAATGAAAACAGAGTTTGTGAGGCTCGGGAAAATTGGTAGTGTGCCACGAAAGTGACTCTGCCAAGTATTCAGATCTGCAGTAGAGAGAAGTGCGCCAATTATCTCATTATCTAGAACAAACCAGTCGCTGAACCCAAAATCATAAGGTAAACGTAGTCAACACCTTTCAAGTCCTAAAATGACCTTACATGGAACTATATTGTATTTAGCATCTGACCCAACAAGATATTTAATAGGCAGAATGAACTTATATGTATTTATTTAGAACAGTAAATACAAAACATGAACAGTTCACCGAATTTGTTATACAAGAATAAAAATTAAACTGAGGAACTTTTCCAAATAAAGGGCAGGTGCCCTAAAATTTTACTTTGCTAGATTTGAACAGGAAATTAGTGGCTTCCATGTGCGTAAGGTTTTGTGAGAACTGTAATAAGTTCTTAAACAGTGACAGTTTTGCCTTTAATTTATTTAAAACATACACGACAGTAAAAAGGCTACAGTAAACAAAGTCTTGGTTTTTAAGCCTTGTGCCAATTGGAAAAGTCAACAAATAGCAATATTCTACAATGAGAAAATAAAACAAAAATAAAAGGATGACAAACACACTTAGGCATATAGATTTAAGAGATGACTGAGCCTACAGTCAAAATATTCTATGAAGGAACTTTATGCATAAACAGGGTTCGGTGGGAAAAAAACAAAAATGTTTTGGATTTATCCATGAAGGATATAAATGTAAATTAAAAAGGTTACATCGCCTAAAATAATGATTGACTGGGGACAGGCGTAAAAATAATTCCTGATCTATTTCAAAGGTTGTAATCCGGTCAATCGGGCTCAAAAAATTTGTTCTCGGACTTCCATTGCATATACCCTCATCAACAGACATTTCTCTAAATGCCAAGGAAGCCAATCAGATGAATTTAGACTTGCTCGGATACTGAAGAATTGATCTACAAAAATCAAAATTGCATAGAAGAAAATACATTTTAGACTGCAAATACTGTGAAAAGCACAGATTATTTTTTTTTTATGTGTGTACGCGCGCACGCATAATTAGACTATCTCAAATGGAGGTCTAGTCAGTGCTTTTGGATGTGGTTGAGGAATAAGTTTGCAGTGTCTTCAACCATCTCATTACAGTATCGCTAAACACAACCAAATATCACAACTCTTCCTTTAGCCCGCTCACACTGATAAAGTCTAATACTGATCTAAATATGTTTGTATTGTATTCCTCAAGCTGAAATAACCAGCTGTAAAGATCATCCTTTGTGCTAGGTTGTGTTTTATGTCGAGAATTGAAAATTTTCTATAGAATTTAGGAGTCATACAATTGTTTATTTAATAAATAAGACTCTGGAACTTTGCCTGACCTCAAAGAAGTGACACTCTCTCACAAGCACATACAGACAATCCGCCAACCACATGCACAGTTACCAAACTAGCCGTACTAACCCACAATGTTCCTGGTGTCTGGTCCCAAAAGTACTTTCTCTTGAGTGCTCCTGTAGCAGTGATAGCTTCAGGGCTCACCTTGTACTGGAAGGATATGATGTATTCCATAACTTTCTATATGCGTCAGTTTGTCCCACAGGAGTCAAGGAAGTCCCTAAAGGAGTTTCTGTGGCTAGGGCATACAGGCAGTCTTCACCAAGGGAATCTGGGAGCCGGTTAGAACATGTCTCATACAGCTTAGTCCCCCCCCCCCCCATATCTGCATCCTGGTAAGAATTCTTATTGAGACAGAGCAAACTTTAACATATCAATGAGTTCTGAAGCAGAACTTTAACAACAAATGTCCTATATTAGCCAACATTTACAATACTTAGAGAAAAAAAAAAAATCAACTATTTATCTTAACATTTGATACCTTAAAGACAAGTAATTACCCATGGTAGGCAATAGAATAATAAGAATTGGGACAGAAAAGATGATGTGAGTGGCATTGGCAAACAGCGCACACACACAAAATAAAAAGTAAAAAAACTGCATGCACCTTCACTATCACCAAATATAATCACCCAGCCTATTGATATTTAAAAGTATAAAATATATTTCTAAATAAATTATAACTAGTTGGACTGATACGGAAATGATTATATAAATGCTTACATCACAAACACAAAAAACTAAAAAACGACACACACACACAGTGTTTCTGGAAGAACTGGTGTGTCACTTGTTGAGACCTACAATTTCTTCTACAACACTCAGCCACATAAATGGCTTAATTAGCATCGCAGTAACATGGTAAACAATAGCTCTGTTCACAAAATGTTTGACATCATTCTCACTATCAGAATTACTACACATAAAATATACATGTAAAGCGTAAATTATTATTTCAGATGTTTGGCATTAACTTGCAGTATTTAAACGTTAGGTTTGATTAGTAGTAAGTAATTTTAAAGGCTGGAATCTATGTCAAGAAGAAGAAAAAAGTGTGTGTGTGTGTGTGTGTGTGTGTGTGTGTACACACAAACACAATGAAGGAAGCACTCAAGAGATTTTATATTTATCTCACTATGTATATATCTGACATGTGGATATAGCGGTGGTTGGGGTTAGGAATTCTGGATGACAAAACATACACTCTTTATACCCCTAGAAGAGTATATTTTACCGGTTTTGTATTAAAGGTTAAACTGAAAGGGCTTTATATAATTTTAGCTATTTATAGTTATGCCAGCAGTTACAAATTAAAGATACACTCTGGGCACTACAATGACTTCCTCTAAATGTAGTTGTTATGGTCCCTGGAGATCCAGGGTATAGCCTTACCTTGAAAAGAGATTTGACCCTTCAAGGTATGACAGCGCCCAGGACCTCCTGTCACCATAACAACATCAATGAAGCGAAGTCATTGTGTTGCCCAGTTTATTCCATTAAGAATACTGTAGCCTCCCACACGCAAAATAAAATGCAATTTTACCAACAAACATACATACAACCTAAATACACATCCCCATTATATTTATAAAATTTCCATTAAAGACCACCTAAAAACACACAATATCTATATAACAGGAAATACACAAAAATACTGGAGAGAAAAAAAACACACACACACACAAACAAACCACACAACAACACACACACACAAACACAAAACACAACCCACACAAAACACAACCCACACAAACCCAGGGGAAGCCAATAGGTAGCTACCTAGCTGTTTTTATAACTACAAGTCCCATGATGCTTCACAACTGTAAGGCTGACAGAGCATCATGGGAGTTGTAGTCCAGCACCCCCCAGCCGTGTATCTATTGGGCTGTGGGTGACACGGGGAGGCCAATCCTTGCTATCCCGGTAGGGCTCCCTGCCACTCTCACCATACAGATTGTCCGCTCCGTGTCCGCTTTGCCAGCGTTTCGGTCCCTCTGTGCACCGGCTGACCGACACACACAGACCGGCGGTGACTCGAAGCCGCGCAGGCGTCAAGCAGCAGCCGCGTGACGTCAGCGATGTGATGATTTCCGAGCTCCGCCCACCCAACCCCCCTCTCTCCTCCTCTCCGTCAGCTGCTCAGAGCATTCCAGGCATCGGTCACGTGGTGCGGTGAAGAAAAAAAAAACAACACAGTTACCTCAAGGTCCTGGGCGGGCCCAAGATGCGGAAGTTGACGTCGCTGTGACGTCATTGCCTGGCAATGAAGTGATGGCCTAGATTGGAAACAATGACTGCACATTCAGGGTTATTCACTGGACCAAGCAACCCTTACAAGATGGTGTAAACTACATCTCCCATGATGCTATGCCAGCATTATGACTGCCAGAGCATTGTGGGGGATGTAGTCCACAACATCTGTAGTGCCAATGGGTTGCAGTACATATATATATATATATAATATGTACCCAAAGCTGACTTGGAATTTGTTTCCAGTTTGGCTAATATTGCCCTAAAATATGAAATGCCCTAGGGAATCCTGGTAATTAACACTTTAATTAGGAATAACCATCTCCATTGTATTAATAAAGCTTCCCATGCATACAATTTAAATGAACACTCTAAGGACCATAACCACTTAAGCACCCCCAATGTACGTAGTCCATCCATTTGGTAATGGTTTGTCTTCTTAACTAGAGTCCATCAGGTCCTGTTCTGCGTCCCATTCTCTGTCACCTCTCTGTTAGAAGTGCGAGCTGGAAGCTCCTCCAGAGCTTAGTTAAAAGCAGAGAGGAGGCTGCAGTAGCGGCAGGGAATAACACCTGGCAGACTCCAGGTAAAAAGTCAAACCTAAACGCTTTGACTTCTTACATGAGGGCGCTGCGGCACGCCTCCCAACCGCCCTGATTCTGGCGAGACAGTTCTGATTTTTAGGTCCCAACTTAGATCCTTGGTGTCCAGCTGTGTGTATTCACGCCAGCCTGATCTGCCATTAAAGGGATAGACCCGACCACCTTTTCCAGGGGAGTTCTCCCCTTTTGGTTCAGAGCCAGAGATGTGATTGGTCATGGGCAGTTCTCTCTACCCCCACTCCCATCAACTTCTTGATAGAATGGATATGGCTGAAGTGGTTATGGTGCTTGTAGCGCTCCTTCAAACAAGGACAAACAATAAAGTGTGAAATGGGAATTAAAGTGATAACTTATCGTGCCAAATTAGCAGAACTGCATGCCCCCCAACATATTGGCTCTGCGACGGAGGTGGGCAGAGTCTTGAGGCCAGGGCCAGGCCAGTCTTGAGGCCAGGACAACTGCAAGGATTTTTGGCTCCACAGGCGAAGATGAATTTTGTGCCCAGAGACATACAGATACAGTCATACAGAACATGACAGACATACTGAGACATACGGACACTGTCGTACAGAGAAATATAGAACAAGGCCTACAGAGATATACGGACATAGTCATATAGAGACATACAGGCAGAGGCATACATACACAGTCATACACAGACATACAGTCATACACAGACATACAGAGCAGGGGCAGATCCAGAACCTAATCTTGGAAAAGGGGGACTGGAAGTGAGTTGTAGTAGGGTGATAGCGGATGTAGTAGGGGGTTAGGGGCTGTAGTGGGGGGACAGGAGCTGTAGTAGGTTGATGGCTGCATTTGGGGACAGAGGCTGTAGTGTGGGCGACATGGGCAGCAGTTGGGGGAGAGAGGCTGTAGTCGGGGGTAAGAACTGTAGTAAGGGAAAAGGAGCTGCAGTGGAGTTATGGGGAGTAAAAGGGGGATAGGGGCTGCACGTGGGCGAATAGAGGCTGTAGTGGAAGGGATGTGAAGTAGGGGAGTTAGGGATTGTAGAGGGGGGCATAGGCTGCTAATAAAAAAAAAAAACACTAAGAGGTCTTACCACCTCCCTGATACTTACTTTGGGCCAGGGAGGGGGGAATCCTTACCCCTGGTGGTAGGGTGGGACAGGCCAGACAGGTGTTGGTTTTGGAGGTTGCAGACCTATTCAGGACCGCTGGGGAGTCTGGGAGCAGTGGAAGTCACACACCCTCCTTCTGTCATCATCAGAGGAGGCCGGCTGACTTTACTGCCTTGCTCCTGCTGTGCTGGCTGCAGGGGGACAGGTGAATTGAAAAATCCGAATCCCTAGCCAGAGGCAGGGGATTCAGATTTTTGCGCCACCCTGCTCTTGCGGCCGCCTGTTCCGCCTTATAGACGCGCCCGGCCTACTTGAAGCATCACCAGTGATGCAAGAGGTGTCATCTGAAGCACCTCCTGCATTATCCTAGTAGTGTTCCTTTAAGCCCTGTGCTCAAACTCCCACCGTCCTGGGCGGCAGCAATTGATATAGCATCATGCCAAATACATAAAAAAAAAAAAAAAGGCTATTTGTGCACTATCCCAAAATATTTTCCCCCTTTTGTTCTATTTATTTAGGCTGATAATTACTATAGCCATAATTACTATAGCCTCAAGAGTAGTGGTAGTTCAGTTGCAGGGCTATTTTACAAAGAAGTAACACTGGCCCTTTAAATCACCTACAGAATACCAAGTGATTAAGCCTTTCATAAGACCAGATTCTATTTCTCATCGTAGATGGCACTTTGAGGCCAATGAATTGTACTGCCAGCTGCACAAATGGTTCAATGAGGGCCCTACTTCCAGAATGAGTAATTGCCCAGGACCAGCTGTGGACCATGCTGTCACACTACAGAAAAAAACGGATACAATGTGCTTATGTAGATTAATTTATCTGTAATATATATATATATATATATATATATATATATATATAGTAAAATTCCCCCCCATTCTATATATATTAAATTGTATCTAAGAACCACATTTGGTAGAAAATGCTTTCTTATCTATATAAAAACAGACCATCCATATTTCTAGAATATAATTTAAAAATGCCTCTTATAAAATTGCACCTTTAAATTCAAAGTTGCCAGGTTCGTAAGTAGATAAAAAACTAAAATCAACAAATATCAGTGGATGCAATTTACATTACATTCTCAAAGTGTAAAATAGAATCCTAAAATGAAGGGATGGCGTGATTGTGAAGAAACAGCGACAATTGTATTAGCGCCTGTGTGTCTGGGAGGTAATTCAATTGAGCAGTGTGTGTTGCAATGCAGGTTTTCCATGTGATAATTGTATTAGCGCCTGTGTGCTTGGGAGTTAATTGAATAAAGTGGTGTGTGTGGCAATTCTCTCCCAGACACAGACCTATGTTTTCGCTGAAGACATGCTGGGAGCCTATGTATATACGCCTGTGTTTTGTTCACTATTTTCACCCTTCATCAAGTCTTGGCTGATGTTTGGGTGCAATCTATAATCACTATATACTTTGCGGGACTCGGGAGAGACTTTTCATACTTGTATTGGAGCTCCACTATAACTGATGGCAGCAATGGGATGCTCTCCCGATTGAACAGATGTCCTGGACAGAGAAAGAGTGACTGGACAAGCGGTACCCCCTACTAAAGAGAAAAACATTGAAGGATCCGTTGAAAGCCACATGGCGAGCAGCGAGCAACAAACCAAAATCCACTGTCATCACCGAGTAATAGATGCAGCAACTCGTCGACAGGGAGGTCAGAGGAAAAGGAATTCCAAAAAAATGTGCGTTTGGAGGCTGAACATATTTGGGCCCCAACCCATTGCAGGAAGTGGTAATTCTGGTGATGGCACAGGCAACTGAGGTGCTGAAAGCTAGAGAGCAGCAAAATGGATCTTCGGTCGGAGACTCAGCCTCGCTACCAGGTTCAACCGGAGGAGACCCAAAGAAACTGAATTATGCGACTTTTAACATGTTCCTGGACAGAGAGGAGGACATAAGTAGTTACCTCCAAGACTTCAAAAGACAATGTGCTCTGGAAGGACTATCCTTAGCAGCAAGTTGTTCGGAAAAGAGCAGCAGAGGCATACAAAGCAGTACCTGACTCGGACATACATAGCTATGAAAAAGTAAAAGAAAAACTTTTAGCGAGGTATGCAGTAACTCCTGAAGTGTTCCCGAAGGAAATTCAGTTACAAAAATTAGTGGGTTTTTGAAATGCAGCAGGCAGCCCAGAATTTAATTCAAGGACAATCGAGGACACCCTGCAGCTGATACTGTTCTTCGATCACACGGCTCTGGAGGTCCAAGATCAAAAGCCCCTCACAGTGGAGGAAACCTCCTGGCTGGCTGATGAGTTCCACCTCTGTTAGAGAACCAAATCCAGTGGAACTCGTTTTCCCCCTCAACCCAACATCAACACCCCGATAACCGCTACCCGGCAGACCCCCAACTACATTAACCCGAGCATGGTTCTACAGCAGCCAGAGTTGCTATCCACAGACTCCCGACTGCCCAGGTACACCTTAATTGGGGCACTGGAGGCAAGTATCCGGAGGTCAGCATAATGAAAGATTTACCTGCAGAGGTGCTCCTTGGGATTTGAAACCCCTGCTACTGAGACCGTTTTTCCTGTGACCACCCGTCTCCAGGCCCGGACCATGGACCCTTTGCACTCCAAGGAACAGCAGACAAGACCCGCTTCTCTGACTCAGACTATGCCGAAACAGTGAAGGATGCCGTGGTCAAGATATTTAGCCGACTAGGATTTCCCAGAGAGATAGTGCCTAGATTAAGGCACCCAATATACTACCACAATCACCTAGCAATTATGGCAGAGTTGCAAGGAATTAAACCTATCCTCAGCTCCCTGACCAACCCCAGGAGTAATGGAATGCTCACAGAGCCCCAGGGCGTCCCTGGTAGTTTTAGTACCCAAGAGGGACGGCAAGACCGATTCTGTATTGATTACCGCAAGCTCAATGACTGAATGATAGCCGACACCTACCCGATGCCCCAGGTAGACAAACCATTAGACAGGATGGCCGGAGGTAACTACCTAACTACTAATATTGCTCTGTGCAAGGGAAATTGGCAGATCCCCCCACAGGCTGTCCCTAAGTCACCTTTGTCAACCCATTCGGCCTGTATCAATTTAAGGTCATGCAGATTGGGATAAAAAAAAAATGCTCCAGCTACTTTTCAGCAGATGGCCGATCGGCTCTTGAAGGAACTCCAGGACTTTGCATGAGTGTATCTGGATGATATAGCCATCTACAGCCACACATTGGAAGACCATCTCTTGCACTTTTTGGTGGTGTTGGATAAGATCTGGGCAGCAGGGTTAACTCTCTGACTCGACAAGTACCATGCAGGGATGGGTGAGGTGCAATACCTGGGCCATTGAGAAGGGTCCGGGAAACAGCACACAGAACCCGCAAAAGTAAAAGCAGTAGGTCCTGTGGTCCCCAGCGTGCGAGGCAGCCATTCAATGCTTAAAGCAAGCCCTAATGCTCCTCTGTTGGCTTCTTCTGCCGATTCAAACAATTTTTCATCCATATCTATGCTTCCAGGTTTGGCTTGAGGGCAGTACTAAGCCAGTTAGGGGACGACAGGATGGAGCACCCGGTTGCATTCCTCAGCTGAAAACTGTTGCCCAGGGAGGTCAGCTATGTCACCATAGATAAAGAATGTCTGGCGGTGCAACTTCTTAAAATTACAGCTGTAACTGTACGGTCCATCATTCATGTTGATGACCAACCAAAATCCTCTTAACTAGTTGAATAAAGTTGCTGGAAACAACCCCAGACTGTTGGGGACAGCTCCAGACTGTGGCGGTGGACTGTATGATGCAAAATCAGTTAGGCAAGCAGAATCATGCCAATTGCTTGTTCTGCCCAACCGATCTAGAGCCTTAACGACCTTTGTTACCAGACATCCCCGAGCCAACCAGTCAGGGTCTGACTGTCTGCCAGATCAGGAACTTGGTGTGTTGCAATTCTCTCCTGGACACGTCTGGGAGAGTTTATCTGTGTTTTTGCAGGAAACCCCATGCTGGGGGTGTCTGTATACAAGCCTGTGTTTTGTTCCATAAAGTGTTCACTATTTTCACTCTTGGCTGATGTTTGTGTGGGAGCTATAATCACTATATACTTTGCAGCTTAGATACTACTTGAAGTACTGGAGCTCCCTTACACTTTTCTGTTATACATATATTTTGCTTTAACAGTATTTTACATAACCATAGCTAATTAGAACTGTGAAGAAAATACTTAATTCGGGATTTTATAAAGCCATTTGTTATTTTGATGTTTTCTTTGCTCAGTAGTTTGAAACTACCGAACGCTGACCACCCTCCTGGCTCATTATCTACAAAGGGAACCATCAATTGAGCGCTCTCTCTGGGTGGCCGCCGTTTATATAGTCCAACGCCACGTAGAAGATAAAACGGCGGCCATCTTGTTTGCACGAAAGGAGGCAGCGGGACTTGGTCGTCGAGTGTCTGGACCTAAAGTCGGACACTCGACTTCCCGAACACAGCTGAAACCATACAAATGCCTGCTTCCTTTTGTCAAACGGCTAGGAGAGCGCCGTTCAGTAGTTTAGTTCCCACGAGAAAAGGGAACAATCGCTCCTATGAGCCAGGAGGCTCCGTTCGTGATATTTGTTTTCATGACTATCGAAATTGACCGACCCTGAATTCATGTAATGGTTTTGGGCAGGAGCCTTGTGTGCAGTTGGTGAACTAAGACTTCCATACATTTCGAAAACCCCTGAACCGATCTGGGTGAAATTTGAATATGTTGGTCACCCAGATTGAGGCTATCAGGGGATGTACAAAAAGGTAAAGAAAATAAAGCAGCGCTATAAGCAAAGGAAAGTGGCTAGTGCTGCTAGAAAATCACCAAGTGCAATGTCACTATTACACTTACAAACATGTGATCATACAGAAACAAAGTGATCCAGCGCACAAAAGGAGTGAAATTTTTACCTTCTGAGATATATATATAACAGGTACTCCGTATAAAATGATTCTGTAACCTATATAAAAATCGATATACATACACATAGTGTAATCTGTATTTACACAGTTATAATAGGTGAATAGGTCTGTCAACTCACAATTTTTTGAGCCCATTATAAGTTGGTTCTAAACTTATAAAGCATTTCATCTCACTTCAGGAGATAGTGTTGGTATAAACACGTCCACAGGAACTTGATATTAGCAGCAAAAATTCCAGGGTCCAAAGTGACACGCATAAAAAGTATTTATTTAAACTTGATAAAAGATATAAAATAAATGTATAAAAAGCACAACACGTTTCAACCTATATAAGGTCTTCCTCAGGTGCAGGTACACTGTACATTGAAACTCCATTATATATATATATGACACTTAATTACAAACAATCATTGTTTCCAAATATGGTCATGACCGGATGTGGTTTGCAATATCAGGGGATGTGTCATTTAAGGAGATACCATTTATGTTAAGGTGTGTTCCAAGTTTTGAGGAAATGGGTTCCATCTGGCTGGAGATAATTTGGTTATCCATTAGCTTACCTAATTATCTCACAGGCAGAGATGATATTGTATGTTTGCAATGGGAATATTTAACTGTAACAAAGTAATATTCTTGGTTGTCACTGTTGTGCCCAACAAGGTCCAAGTGGGAGGTCCCCTTGCACAAAAGCCAGCATGGCATCAAAAAAAAAAATCTCATTCCTGTTGTACCCTTCATGAAGTCTAGGCTTATGTTTGGGTAACTGTTAGCTGGGTAAAATAGTCTTGAAAGCTGCATTCGTCTCAACTATTCATCTCTACACCCAAGCTGCAGCTATAATCACCAAGGCTCAGCAGTTGGGAGAGAATAGGTAAACTAGGCACCATAACTACTGATGTTCATAACAAGAACCTTTTAGTGAACTGGCACATTAGTGCTTATACATATTCTAGAATACTTAAAAAGCTCTAATACCTGTCGAGCAGTATTACTAGTGTGTGATACAGAAAATAATCTGTGCAAGCAGTAGACATCTGCACGTAAAAAACCCAAAACAATTCACTCATACAGCTAAAGTTGTTTTGGTGCTTCGGGACAACACCTTAATGTAGTTCTCTGGCAGACTGACCTTTCAGGGTCATAGGGTAAACACTGCTTTTTCTGAGAAGATTGGAGTTTACACTGTTACCCATGATCTCCAGCAGTTGTCCCTCAAAGATTTGGGACAGATGTTAAGTGTTGCTCCCTATGGGGTCAATGTAAATTTAAGTGGAGATTCTGTGCAGCAGTTTGCTGCGCATTGGCACTAGTCTCCCAATGTTACCCCTACTGCTCAAAATCCACAAAAAAACCAAACACAAACACATGGGATAGGTCACACCAAACAGGTGTTGGACTTACAGGTCCTAGATATACAGTGTGACCTTTCCCCAATGTTTTGGGCTGCTTAAACCTCCTATTGACAGGGCTTGCAGTGTTTTCTATGGTTTGTTAAAGTTGAAGACTATATCCTGCAAAATTTCCCCAGACCATCATGTTTGCCTGCTGGTGTTGCACAATGAGGTACCATACTTGAAACTGTATAAAACCCAGTGAACCAGAGATTTCAAAGTTTCTTTGGCTCACAAGTCAGTGTTCAGTACTGAACTGACCCTGCTTTGCAGCCCAGGTAAGCATTATTCAGCCATCTTAGAAACAACTGTCTTACTGCCACTCAGACGCACATCTAATACAGTTCTCAACGTGTGAGTAGAGAAAGGCTTCTGCTCTAAAGCAAGGGCCGGATGCAGCAGAGGTGCTGGAAGCAAACTGGGGGTTAAACAATTAGATCATCAAGACCTCCAGGCACCATAACTTAATTGAGATGAAGTTGTGAAGGTACCTGGAGCAATCATTGTCTCTTGTCAATTCCCATTATGATTGTAAAATACCACTTCATGCAGTACAATATGGTCTGAATGCTTGAGAAGATATAAATTCTGTTACTACACTGTGCATTTATATATGGTTTGAGAGTCAAAGATATGAGCTACAGAAACCATCAATGCTTGATTTACATCAATTTCTGCATAATGGCTTTATAATTCTGATCTGTATATTACATTTCAGTTTTAATCATGTGTTGCTTCAACATCTCAATATGGCACTTACCTTTGCAATGTTTCAGGTTATTCAATAAAACTTTAGCAGAAAAGTAGAGTGCTCAAGACATTTATGCACATACTGTATTCCCCCTGTGTACAAGACGACCCCTACTTTGATCCCAAAATTAAGAAATATTTAAACCCTGTACATCTTGTGATTATTAGACCACCAATTTTAAACTTGAAAAAAATTTGGGAAATAGATATTGTCTTACATGTGGAAAAAATATGTTATTTGTATTATGATAAAATAAAATGTGATCACTGCACAATTTCTTGTCAAGTATTTATTGGGAAGACGTTTTTGCAATAGTAGAAAACAAGACAATGGCAATACAAATTAACTTAAAAATAAAAAAGGAACATGGAAATATCTTACATGACCCAATATTTCAATATAAAAGAAAAATTAAAGCATATCATTTCTATCCTAGTGTGTATATTGATCTATGCATGCAAAGTCAATTTAGTTTTTTTTATATTTAATGATTACCTGTGGTGCACTAAATAGTGACTAAAGGTTTTACACTTACATTTTGTAAAATTTTATATACACTGTTTAAATTGTCACTCCAACATTCATGACTACTTCAGTCATTTGAAATGGTCACAGTGGCAGGAATCTAGGTGCAGCATCTGTTTGAAATATGGCACATATGTGCCAGGGTCTAGTTACAAACTTGAAACTGCCCAGAACTCTGCATATTTTACACCTACCATCTGCATATTGCACATTTGTTTTATTTCTTTGGGCAATAGAAAAAAAAAAAAAAAAGTGGAATTCTTAAGGGGCACTATAGTCACCAGAACTACAGCTTAATGTAGTTCTAGCGATCATAGTTGGTCCCTGCAGGCTTTGTTGCAGACACTGTCTTTTCAGAGAAAAGTCAGTGTGTACATTACAGCCTAGTGACACCTCCAGTAGCCAGATGACTACTAGAGGTACTGCACAATGTGCAGCACCAACATTCGACATTTCCACATTACATAGAGACACTGAACTTACCTCAGAGGCATTTAAATGATATTCTGATTGGCCCTGCCTCCTTGACAATTTTAGCCAAATCCCATGATTTTCCTATAGGAAAGTTTTGGGTTGGCTGAGATAATCAATTCTGATGTCAATCAAGGACATGGGGAGGGCCAGTGGACTTCCTCAGCGCTGAAAATAAAGTGATACATCCACTTAAGTTATGGTTTTAACACTATAGGGTCAGGAATACATGTTTGTGCTCCTAAAATGGTTTAAGAGTGCAAGTTCCTTTTTTATTGATGTTTTAAGTGCTTCTTACACTGCTCAGACTATCTGGCTTTTCACTACCCTTGAAAGTAGTAAAGCAGCACTGTCACTGGTGACAGTGCTGAATTTACAGGTGCCCGACCGTGACATCACTGCTGATGGTCTGGTGGCCAGTAAATGCAAAGTTTACTTACTTCACTGGTCCATTGTGGGCACGGCCATCTTGATCTGTGGGTCCTCTTTCTGCATGCACGAAAGTACAGCACTGAGGTCTACGGAGGATCCCACAAGACCCTCCATAGATACAGCCAATTCCTTGCAAACATTACTGGTTATGGCTGTTGGATTGACACAGATCCTTACCAGAGTTTAAGCAAGTCAAGGGGAAGAGAAAGACAGGAGTAGCCCTCGATTTGTCTATATTCATTGACTGGGTTGGAGTTTCAGTAAGTAAATACAACACAAAAAAAATAAAACTTACAGGTTTATCTGAACATTGTTTTGTCATTGCTAAAGTTATCCATTATGCCACTGAAAGATAAAGCAGTTTGTAGTGTCAAGGGAAGAGAAACAAATCTTTAACATTTGAGGGGCAGACTGCCCATTGGACATTCACAAATAGAAGCACTGGTTAAGTCCATTTCAGCATCCACAGTCTGGATAACACCAACACAAATACAGCAGCTGTGGGCTTGCTAGAAAAAAAAAAAAATATAAGAAACAATTTTAGAATGGGAACAAATACATTTAAAAATATATTTCAGACAGGTTAGGTTATAAAAACCTATGCAATGCCCTCCACTTATACTAACCAGCACCTACAGGTGTGCCACAAAAGTCTATAAACAGTGACGTTTAGTAGAAAAGCAAGTTTTGTGAGGTCTCTAATCCCTTGATATTATCGTCCCAGAAAACATGGTTCTTACAGACACTCAAAGTTTAACAAAGGGGAAAAAAAAAAAATAGATAGTGTCTTAAAATTCAAACTTACAGCACGATACGAGATTGTACCATAAATTTTTCCCCCATTAAAGCGGTTTTCAAATATTTTTACACCCCGAAACAAGTCCATGGTTTGATGAGTGGTGCTTTATAGCAGTTATATAAATCATTACTCATAGCAGTCTGAGAAGACCTGTGTGCAGTACTATACATGAGCACAATTTACTAAAATGTGTTCACACCTGTTACGGCACAGGATGACCGAGACAGGCCAATCCTTTGTTACTCTAGGTCAGGGTAAGGCTATCTGGTACAGATGTACAGCCCAGGAGGCAGCAGCAACCAGAAGCCAGTTCCCAGACCATATTACAGTCACAGAACTTCACCACTTATTTGTTATAACCTTATGGGAAGGATGCTTACAGATTTATAGCCTTTCTATAGATACATTTATAGGGTAAAGGGACCCGCAAAAAAGTCCTTTATCTTATGGCTGTGTTTACACATCACACTGGTATGATATCTTTATGAAACACCTGATAAGTGAGTGATTGAAATGAGCCTAGAACAGAAACATGCATTCGTCAGAACATATGGGAGAGGAGAGAGGGTGCGCAGAGCTTCAGATGCCTTGTGTAGAGGCTAGTTGCTTTAAGCACCAACATAATGATCAGGCAGTCCATCTTGTTACTTACCAAAGGTTAGCCTTGGAACATGCAGAGCAAGTCTTCAATACATTAAGCTACCCTAAAGGAGAAAAAAAAAAAAGTGTAAATATGGAATTGCTAACTTTCTATATTAAATATTGTAGGCAGTCCATTATAACAGCTGTGTGCAGTACTATACATGAGCACAAGATACTGTGATGTGCTCACACCTGTTACTGCACAGGTAGACATCTGGTCTATCCTGGGGTTTTATCTAGGTCCAGGTTAAGCTGCCTGGCACAGACCCACTGCCCGAAGGCAATAGAATCCAGGAGCCATGCCCCAGACCACATCTTGCTCCTTCACACCAGTATTTACCATTTCAGAATTTATGAATTTGTGTGGTATAGAACACAATTCTTTACATCAATGTGTCTTCGTAGCACACACCAGCTTAGGGTGATACAGATTATTAAAACTGAAAAGGAACACCAAATGCGGGAGCTAGATTTTCTTTAACAGGAACATCTGTTGGCTCTCCTGAGTTAAGCCCTGCACAGCATAAATGTTAGCCAACAGAAGTCCTATCTTAGGAAGTATCAGCTGTGTGGAGATGGTAAGAGCCCAGACAAGAGGAAATCCAATAATTAAAAAACAGTGTAACCACTTACAAATCGTATAGTAACGAACCCTGCAGTGTATTTTCCTACATACTGTTCATCATGAAGATCTTTCATTTAAATACACAAAGGGAAATACAGTAAAGGAGGAGTCTATAAAAGAAAAAACCACCACAACGAGGACAGTCTTAAATTAGAGGGACAAAGGTTTAAAAATAATATCAGGAAGGATTACTTTACTGAGAGGGTAGTGGATGCATGGACTAGCCTTCCAGCTGAAGTGATAGAGGTTCACAGTGAAGGAGTTTAAGCATGCGTGGGATAGGCATAAGGCTATCCTAGACTTAAGATAGGCCAGGGACTAATTAAAAGCATTCTACATATTGGGCAGACTAGATCGGCGAATGGTTCTGTTTGTCACAAGGAAGCAAGTGCGATCAAGATACACCATGTGCTCTAGAAGAGCCTGATTTTGCAGCTTGTGGTATGCATTAACCAGGGGGATAAGCACACTAAAAGCTGGCAGCCAAAGCAGAGTAGGCCTCTGCTTACTTGGGCAGAAGATGACAACTCAGTTATAGTGTCCAGGAGAAGGCTTTAGCAGAGCAGCAAGGGAGCTGTAACCTCTGCTCTTTCAGCACAGATCACTCACATTGTAGTGACGCCCAGGAGCAGAGTTACGATGTTGCCACATCATTACTAAACATGAGGCAACAGCAAAAGTATCAACATGCCAGTCACTAGTCCCATAGAAATGATCACTGGATCTTAGGGAGAGATTCCCTCCAGCTCACAGGCTTGGTGGACTTAATTTGAGAGTGCCAATGCCTTGTGTGTAGCTATTGTATTTGATTACAAGTTCATACACAATATTCACATTGTGTCGCTCATTTTAAGATATCCTTCATTACCTTTAAGCAGGCTTGTTCTGCAATATCAAGTTAACTTAAACAGTATATATACACACACACACGTCAATTAAATTTTAAAATTAATAGAAGTTAACTTTAAAAAACAGGTGCACTTAGGAATTTGTTTAAACACCGCTCTATAGTACCTCTAATGATATGCCGCATAAAAACAAAGCTAAAATGTTTCTGCAGTGTTAACATGCTAGTATTGCAAATAAACAGTCAGTGTTTTAAAGGTGAGAGGGCACACAGCAAGATTTATAACCACACAGAAAGTCATGGTGTAGACTGTTTGCAGAGGATTACACAGAATTAAACATTGGGAAAATGCTCACACCTGCTACTGTCCACAGCAGACAGTTTTTGAACCTAAGAGCATATTAAATATTATACATAGTAGTCTTAAGTATACTCACTAAACACAGAATTTTATCTATAACCTGCATGGTATATTTGAGAAACTTTTCCAATATTAGCCTGAACATTTACATATTTATTATCTGCTTAATTAGTTAATAAACCTCTCTATGTTTGGAGAACTGCAAAGTCTAAAACTGCTGGAAACACTCACCATGTTCTTCTCCTCACCACCACGTGCAGTACACTGACAATGCACTGGGACTTCCTTCTTATAGCTGGCCAGCGAGACATACGTCACTACCGCGCGCCGGGGAGCAGCCAATAGCACGCCGAGAACGACCTGCTGTCGCGGCTGTGCGTTCCAAGGGGCGGAAGTGACAGCTTGATCTTGGCATGCCATGTGTTAGACAGCAGTGGTTTGTTAGGAGGGGGCACAGGTGGTGTCAATACTCTTCTGTAAAGAGAAATAAAGTTCAAACACTCTGTCTATCGCGATTTATAGAATTCCCTAATTAATACAGGTGAGTACACATCAATTCCTGTTTTGGGGGGAGCTTATTAATGGCTATCTCATGTTTTTATAAACTGTGTAAGGGGGATCTAGAATTCCAGATTACTGAACACTTATCTGTTGTAACCACAATCCTTTATAATTAAGAGAAAGAACATTTACTTATTTACTTAAGATCCAGCTTTTGAAATGTCTAACGTGTGCCCCAATTTAACCCTGTTTCTTTTGAATACAATATTTTTCGATATTATTATGAGTGTTACTATTTTTGCATTTATGTAGCGCCAACGTATTCCGCAACGCTTTACAATATTATTTAAAAAGGTGAAATTTAACAGTTAATGAGTCGATTTCAAAATGTTACAGGAACAATAGGTTGATGAGGAACTAGAATGCTAAATGTATGAGCCAAATAAACCGCTTAAGGACCAAACTGGAATAAAAAGGAATCATGATATGTCACACATGTCATGTGTCCTTAAGGGGTTAAATAAGATGACATACTAAATTTTGTGCCTTATACTGAGTGCATTCTTTTCTACAGACTGTGAATATGACAGAGAAAATCATTGTAAATAAGGAGGACACAAGCAATTGGACGGACATTCAGGTACAGGAGTTTGTTACCAAGGTGAGACTAGCATTACACCTACTCAAGCACGAAACTTGCCTAATTCCTGACGGGATCAAGTATGGTTTCTATTAGGCACTCCATATCACACTATGTTTCACTAGATCAGCATTCAGTTTTGGCTACCTCATAACATCCACTAAATAGTGTATTATGGTAAATTAAAAACAGCAATAAATTTAGGCACAATTGGAGAAGTTAAAATTGATTTTTTGCTGTTCATTTAAACACAACTTACTGATTTATTGAACAATCTGCTTAGTGATTTATTTTTCCCTTAAAGGGACACTATAGGCATCAGAACCAATACAGCTTAATCTAGTGGTTCAGAGGCATGTAGCCTGTCCCTGTAGCCTCAGCAGTGTAAACACTGCTTTTTCTGAGAAGTGTTTACACTGCAGCCTAAGGCCAACTGACAGCCACTAAAATGTGAAACTCCCTTTGAACTCCTGACAAGCCCCACTTTAGTGGATAGCCCTGTGCGTGTAATATAAAGGGAAGGTAATTGAAAAAGAATTACATATATGAAAATCCTACGGTCTACTTTGCTGGAAGTGTTTACTCCACTAGGGATGAACATTACCATATTATCTATGGAAGAGAAAGTGGGTGAGATATGTAAGGGATTGCCAGAGAGACCTGCTGGCTTTGGTTGTATTTTGCACACAGAGAATTTCTCATCCTTTTCAATTTTCTCTTTCTTCTTCTAATCTTTTTATTGTTTTATGATTTAATGGTTTACTTTTGTAAAAGTGCTTGTGTTCGTTTAAAAATAATCTTTAGTATCTGTTTACTGATTGGTGAGTTTTTGTAAGTTGATTACTAATTTACAGCCCAAAACGAATTAAGGAGTTGTTGATTTCTATCCATCTATTTGTGCCAAAGTTAATTCACATTGTCTAGTGACTTAACTCCAAATTAATATTTTTATTAGAGGGGACACTTTAACCCCTTAAGGACACATGACATGTGTGACATGTCATGATTCCCTTTTATTCCAGAAATTTGGTCCTTAAGGGGTTAAACACCATCATTTCCTATGTTCTACAGAAATTACCTTTCCTTTTCCCATCATTCTGCTATCTTCTTCTGATCTATTACTTATAGCTACAACAATTTGCCCTATAGCTATATATTTGTATTATCTCTTACTGCTCTTGTCTTGAAGTATTAGCCTGAGCAGTAATGGGCATTTGTGATTGGCCGAGAATGTCAGCTGACTGCTTTTAGCCTGTCAGAACTCCAACTGACGGTATGAATGGGTATGACAACAAGGAAGTGTGTAATCTCCGCTTTAGCTACACATACAGAAGGGGCTGGACTGTGGGTGGCCAGGGACTATTTTTTTTTTTTTTTGTGGCATACTGCACAAATATGGTGCCACACTGCACTCCAGGCACAATAACCAATTCAAAGAGATGAAATGGTTATAGTGACTACAATGTCACTTTAATAAATGAATAAATAAAACTACTTAAAAAGATCCTCCAATATTTCAAAAAAGATCTGACTGGTTTTGCTTTTCTACTTTTTACAGCTTACTGAACAAAAGGTAGTGGTGGATGAGTTATCGAACTTGAAAACGGATCGGGTGAGTTATCAACATTTTAACCCCTTGAGATTCCCAAGCTGTCCTTTATAGCAATTTGTAAAGCGTACTGAAAATGTCCCATTTCACCTGAACAAGTTTGGCAGTAACAGAAGGTATACTTTTATGTCTTTCGTTTGCAGAAGGTGTACAGACAACAGCCCAACAGCAACATTTTCTTTATTGCTGATAGGTCTCAAACATTAAGTGAATGTAAAAGTAAGTATGTCCTCTTTTGAAAACTCCCTCTCTGAAAGTTCCCTATTATTTCATGAATCTGGTTATTTACTTACTTGAGACTGTAGGTGAAAAAAAACAGTAGCCGTAAGTGCAGGGGAAGTCCCTACTCATTTGCTGCCTGTTAAACTGGTCAGGAATTACCACAATATTGACAAAGCGAGAGCTCCTGCAGGGACCAGGACACGGCTAACATTTAAAAGCAAGCCCTGAAATTCTCACAGGAAATGGGAGTGATGTTCGTAAAACAGAAAAGTTGACTCAACAGTGGTTGGGCATGTTTGAGAGATGTTAAATTGGCTTTGTCGTTTGTGTGCGCTTGTGTTTACATGCAGCTTGTACCAGTTTGGCAAACAGAGAGAGAGAGATACTGCGTAAAGATGCTGTAGAACAGGAGTGCCCAATAGGCAGATCCCCAGATGCTGTAGAAATAAAACTCCCATGATGCTTTGTCATTCTAAAGGCATGCAAAGAATCATGGGAATTGTAGTTCTACAACATCTGGGGATCCTATGAGTGGACAGTGTAGGTGCAACACTTTTCAGTTGATTACTGCTAAGCTAAACAATAGTATCAACACAGACAGACGCAGGAAGTGGTTATAGTGCTGTGTGTGTCTACTAAAAACCATAAAGGAATGTTCTACCAAAAACATACATATTGTATTTAAACACACAAAGCACCATTTATCAATCTATACTTATGACATAGGTTAAGAGTAAAGAAGTTCCTGTCTGTCACAGAGTCGAAATTGCTGCAGCTATAAGTCAACCACCTCACCCAAAAAACACACAGACTTTACCCGTCAAGTTCTTGTATAGCATGATCTCGGAAGATGGTTTCACAATATTCAAGTCTGCATCATAGTGCAGTTGCTGTTGGCTTAGGTTGCAGTTTTATGTTATCTGATGTATAGAACGTTTTGAAGTGCTTTCTACACGTGCCATAAACCCCCTCTAGACCTGCATTAATGGACATGGCTGCCATTGACGGCTGTCATATAGTGCCTGGTTTGAGCAGAGCTCACTGCAGGGAGCTGAGGATCCTTAGAGAATTTCAAAGGTCTGAATCATGTTACATGCTGACATTTTATTTTGCTTTTTTAGAATTTGTGTTCTGTGAATCATCACAGTTTATTATATATAAATGGCTGTAAAATGTTTTCTTTTGTTTGACAGAAACATTGGATGACATGAATCAGACTTACCAGGATCTCACGAAAAAAGCCCAAGTCAAGAAATAATCTATTATTTTTGTGAAAAGAAAAATGTGTGGGATATGTTGTACTGTCAGTTTAATTGCTTGTACTGATGACACATTCATTTCTGAAGATGACGCAAACATTAGGCGTCGTGGGCCTAACAACAGCCACCACTTAATTAAGTGTGATCCTTCTAATGGCTACAGTTGTTTTTTCTCTGGACACGTTCTTCACCTGAGAGGGCAACTGACTCCGCAGCCTCTACAAGACAAAGATGGCAACATATTTCTTTGGAATGGAGAGGTGTTTGGTGGAATTGAAGTTTCTGATAGTGAGAACGATACTCAAGTAATGTTTAATCACCTTTCCTGCTGTAATAATGAGCATGACCTATTAACACTATTTTCCCGTGTCCAAGGTCCCTGGGCTTTTATTTTTTATCAGGCTAAAAGCCACAGTTTGTGGTTTGGTAGAGATTTCTTTGGTCGACGAAGTCTTTTGTGGAAATTTAGCCAGAATCCACAGAAAGCCTTGTGCCTCACATCTGTAACAGAGTCATTTTCTACATCTGATCCCATTCAGTGGCAAGAAGTTCCAGCATCTGGAATATTTAGATTCGATCTTCAATCTTGGGTAAATTCAAAATCAATGACACTGTCATGGTATGCATGGAAGTCTTCATCAGTTGATGTAGTAACAAAAGAAGGAATGGTGAATGAGGAACAAAACCGTATTGTAAAAGATTTGCCATTATTTATCACTGTCCAAAAGAGTGAAGAAGATAAACTCACGACTCCAGTTGCGTCTTTGAATAGAGAGGTCCCTGAAACATTCGCTGAACCTCACTGCGTTGCTTCTTCTACCAATGTCACTTTAGAAGACCTTAAAATGTTAATTACAGATGAACACCAGAAAAATGCTAAGTCCCTTATAGATGTATTAAGTGAGTCTGTTCGAAGACGAACTTTATGCCTTCATCGAAACAAAGACGAGCTCTTGTCAGGTGCTGAAAGAAAAGCAAATGTTGCAATCCTGTTTTCTGGTGGGATTGATTCCATGATTCTGGCTGCCCTTGCAGACCGTCACGTTCCAAAAGACGAACCTGTAGATCTTCTTAACGTGGCTTTCATGATGAATGTCCCAAATGGTATGAAACCTTACTCCAAAAAGAAAAACAAGGTTAAAAAACAGTCTGTTTCCGCAACTCAAAACGATAAGTTGGAGATCTCAGCTTCCTGTAACGCTTTTGATGTTCCTGATCGTATAACAGGCAGGGCAGGACTGGAGGAACTGAAATCCATAAACCCGTTAAGAACCTGGAATTTTGTGGAAATCGACATAACTCCAGAAGAGCTTAAAGAAATGAGGCAGCAACGTATTTGTCAGCTCGTTCACCCACTGAATACTGTCCTAGATGATAGTATTGGATGTGCTGTCTGGTTTGCTTCCAGAGGCGTAGGCACACTTGCTATCAATGGGGAAAAGAAACCATATGTCAGTACTTCCAAGGTAATTGCCACTTGTATTCAGATGATGCCTTGTTGAGAACACATTGGCTTAATAAAATGGAACCTGTAATTCCTAGCAAATCCCCCAGCTTTGTCACTCCTTGAAAGTCCTTTATTCAGTTCTCCACTCATCTCTATTCTCTCTTATCTCTGCCTTATCCTCTTTAGTAAAGCCTTAATTTGTCAATAAATCCTCTCTTTACACTATGAACCACATGGATAAAGTGGGATCAACCTTTACTCGTTTTATAGACAGCCTAGATTGTAGGTAAACTCTTCCCGAACCGTGTAGTTGGAGGAAGTCTCACTGAACTTCTGACTTTCTTTTCTATATATTTCAGCTCTTAGATGCCATGGAAACACACATCACTCATACTTCAGCCACCTTCTCTCACAGGTCCATACCTTCAGCTCGTTCCATTGACCGATCACCTTCCCCTTCACTAATCTCCCACTAACAAGTTTCAAATGTATTTCTATGGCCCGAAACAACTCACCAGAACAACTGAGTTGCAGATTTTTTTCAGCTAGACTTTCCCAGCCTAAAATTTGGAAAAATATTCTATCTACTTCTCTACAGTTCTTGTGGTATGGAATAAACCAGGGGGTGCCCAAAAGATAGATCCCCAGACACTTTAAAACTACAGCTTCCATGATGCTTTGCCATTCAATAGGCATGCAAGGCATCATGGGAATTGTAGTTCTCTGACCTCTGGGGACCTACCTTTTTTTGCAACCCTGAAAAAAGTACCTTTTATGCATTAGCAGTGTTCTCTCCTGGTTTTACTTATATTTGCAGGATTATTTACTAAAGTGATAATTCTTTGATAATTTAAAGTGAATTTAAAATTTAAAGCCAGGGAAATTGACTTAGAGCTTTTTTCCATTTTAACATTTTTTAACTTAAATTTGAAATTCACCTTGAATTCTCACTTTAGTAATTAACCCTGTATCTTTATTTTATTTTACTATTATACGTGACCTTAGACTGCCTTCTCGGGTATTTCACTGTCTGTGCCTTACTTGATCTTATTCATTTGGTGTTTATATACCGTAATTATTTTTTAATTGGTGCACACATTCAGACTCTAACGGCTGAGCAAATTGATGGGAATATAACTAAGATGGAAAGCCCCCAGCTTTGCCACATCTTCAATCAGATGTTACCACTTAGAGGAAGCAGCACACACAAAAATAATTTTTTGGTTTTAATACTATTTCAACTCGCTTACCTTCAGCACATAAATATGGGTAGTAAGTCACACTGTACAGTCATACCATCATTAACCCGCCACTGTTTACAAAGTACCCTAGTATCAGTGGGACTATCATGGGATCCAAACAAGCTCATTTCAAAACCTATTGCTTGAACTGCTTCAAGAGGCTTTCCTCAAATTTATATTCTCCTGTGATCATGTGTAATGGGTCCATATGTGGCGACTAAATCCCCAGGTTTATTTGCTGAAGATAAATGATTTAATGTAGCTTTGTAAGATTTAACTCCGCATTTGTTTTTATTTTATTTTTTGGACATGTGCTGTATGCGTGATATAAATTAAGGTCTTTACAGCAGCATCGCTAATATGAAATGCTTGTTCTGAGTGTGCCACTCAGTTCCTTTTTAAAAAAATGAAATCTTACCAAACCTGGAAGCAACGAAACCAATCACGAGTTTTCACTTAAAGGGTTTCTTTTACCCTTTTTTTTGTTTGTTTTCACCAGTATAATGCACTATTGTTCTCAAAAGGGCCTTTTAAAATAAGTTTTAATTACCTTAATCTAGCATTGGGCAAAGCTCACGGCACTGTCCAGCATGCCCCGTGGTCATCTCTGTATTCCTGACGCTATAGTCATGATGCCACTTGTCATCTAGGTCCACCCTTCTGTAAAAAAAATCTGAAATCAATAAAAAAATAAAACGAATTACTACCCTTTTCTCCAGCACAGAGTCTTCCTTGGCGATGCCAAAACCTCCTCCCCTGGTTGTGTCATGACGTACCTCCAGGATGATGAGCCAATCTAATGCTCGTCATAGGTGACCATAGGCGCATCTCACTGCAATGCACCTAAGCTTCTGTCATAGAGAATCATTGAATAAAATGGCACTGCACATGTGCACATGAGGTCATGATGTGTTATGGTATGAGAATCAGGAAGTAAGATTTTCAACTCTCAGAAGCCGCGCATCCAAGACCTATAATTAGTGAACTAAAGGGTATTGGGGGAGGGGTTGGGCAGACATTAAAATGAAAATGAAGTTATTAAAATGCCTACGGTGTCCCTTTAACATACTATCATTCTGCCGATCTTTTTCTGTAAACAGTGCTTTATGGTTGCAGCAAAGGTTTCTGGGAGTTGTAGTTACATTGTCATGACATCCAGCAGAGCCGTGTGTAAACCGATGCCCGAAGTGCCTTTTTAAGTTTATTCTACACTTGACATTGATCTGACAATGGCTAGCAAATGCATTTAAGGCAAAATCTGTTTTGAAATCTGTTCCATAGGTGGTGCTGACCGGGATTGGGGCAGATGAGCAGCTTGCGGGTTATTCCCGTCACCGAGTGCGTTTCAAAACAATGGGATACTTAGCTCTGCTAGAAGAACTGAGCATGGAACTGGGTCGCATCGCTTCCAGGAATCTTGGCCGCGACGACCGCGTGATTGGTGATCACGGTAAAGAAGCAAGGTAAAACCACTTTACAGGAAGTAAGATTTTAAAGTAGAGAGACAGAAACAACTATTAAAGAAAAGGTAAACTGTACCAAAATGAAATTTCCAAATAATGTAAGGGAGATATATTCCGCTTAAAAGAAAAGGGAAAAAAAAAAAACACAACCCTTTTTAAAAATTTGTAATAAAATAACGAGGTTGAGGTTGCATACCAAGGAATGGTCATATCAGATATGTATATTTTTTTTATTATTTAATTTTTGTGTTAAAATTAAATTGCATTAAGAAAGAGGGGTTTTCTTACCACTCAAGCTCAGACTCACATTTTATCGGTGTGTGATCAGAAGCCTAGTAAAAAAAAAAATCTGAGCAGGCTAAATAGGGCTGGGCGCTGCGAATTAAGGGAACACTTTAGCGTCACAAACTTGGAATCCCTTTAAATTGGAAATTCACTTTGAATTCTCACTTAAGTGAATAACCCTGATAATCATACTTTTGTTTAAAATGGAGAAATTTCAGTAAAACCCTTAGTTTGCATGTTTTTAACCGCACTTTCTGGATAACTGCTTATTTTTTTAAAATATACCTATTAGGTTTCCGTTCCTTGATGAAGATGTTGTATCCTTTCTGAACTCTCTGACCATCTGTGAAAAGGCAGATCTTACCCTGGCCAGAGGCCTTGGTGAAAAACTGATTTTACGATTAGCAGCGGTGGAATTGGGACTTACTGAGTCTTCTGTGTTGCCCAAAAGAGCTATGCAGTTTGGATCCAGAATCGCAAAAATGGAGAACCGAACTGAAAAGGCCTCAGACAAATGCAGCAGACTCCAGACAAATCTTACTGAATAGCAGCATTTCCTTTTCACCTTTTGGCGTTTAGAGGAAATCTAAAAATTTTACTGTGTTTTACTTTAATAAACTTTTTGAAAGATTGCATTTTATGTTGTGTTTGTGTAGACATATGTATGATATAGTTCCCTAGCTGCCATCAGGGACCCTGGAGCACTTCAGACCCAGTTGCGATATGCTTGACTGATGTCTCTCAGTACTTTTTCCACTAGACCAGACTGCACCTCTCTTCTTACAGGCAGGTATCTACTCTTCTGCCTACAGTGTCTCCAACAACTGCCTTTACAAAAGCACATATGGCTCTCAGGCCTAACTCTATTTTAACACATTCTGGGAATCTGGTTCCAATTCAGCCAGCCAACAGGTCTGAAGACTTTTACTAGGATCCCTGAACAAACCACACAAGACACATTTTTCTTTTTTGGTTTTACTTAGGGCTAGCCTATATCCGATTATATTTAACTTATAGTGACACACTCAATCTCAATCTACATATAACCAAAACATGGGGAAAAATACAGGAACTCATTATAACACAATGATATATTTATAAAGGGGTGGGAAAGACAACAACAAAAAGGAAATATAACCCCTGCTTGCAGAAACCATAATATGCAAATCTATCTAAGTATGCAAATGAATGAGCCTTGCTTTTAAGTGCATATAGTTGTTTCAAGATCTTCACAACCAACAGATGGCGCTGCATGGGCTCCACAGCCAAATCCACCTAGGTGGTAGAGGGTATTAGCAGAGTGTTTCTGTTGGACTTTGTACCCATTAAAGGACCACTCTAGGCACCCAGACCACTTCAGCTTAATGAAGTGGTCTGGGTGCCAGGTACAGTTAGGGTTAACCCATTTTTTTATAAACATAGCAGTTTCAGAGAAACTGCTATGTTTATGAATGGGTTAAGCCTTCCCCCTAATCCTCTAGTGGCTGTCTCATTGACAGCCACTAGAGGCGCTTGCGTGCTTCTCACTGTGATTTTCACAGTGAGAGCACGCCAGCGTCCATAGGAAAGCATTATGAATGCTTTCTACCGCTGAATGCGCGCAGCTCTTGCATTCAGCCGACGGGGAGGAGAGAAGGAGGATCGGAGGAGGAGAGCTCTCCGCCCAGCGCTGGAAAAAGGTAAGTTTAACCCCTTTTCTCCTTTCCAGAGCCGGGCGGGAGTTGGACCCTGAGGGTGGGGGCACCCTCAGGGCACTATAGTGCCAGGAAAACGAGTATGTTTTCCTGGCACTATAGTGGTCCTTTAAACCAGAAGAGCATTTGTGAGGTCAGGCACTGATGTTGGACGAGAAGTCCTGGCTCGCAGTCTCCATTCCAAAGGTGTTCGAGGTCAGTGCTCTGTGCAGGCCAGTTAAGTTCTCCCACACCAAACTCAACCAACTATGACTTTATGGACATTGCTTTGAGCAGTGGGACACAGTCATGCTGGCTGAGTTTCTGCTGTTCCTAAACATTTCTGCTTTCCAATAACACAACTTGAAATTAACCATGGAATATCTAGCAGAGGTGAAATTTCACAACCCGAATTCTTGCAAAGATGATTTCCTATCACAGTAGGATGTCTACTGAGCTCTTCAGAACGGCCCATTTCCCCCCACAAATGTTTGTAAATGCAGACTGCATGGCTAGGTACTTTATTTTATACACCTGTGGCAACGGGTCTAATTGAAACACCTGAATTCAATAATTAAGAGGTACATCTCAATACTTTTGTACATATACTGTACTCTTCATCTTTAGAGAATTACATTGAGCAGTTGTGTTACAAATACATTTTTACGGCTTGTAAAAAAAAAATACATTTATTTGGTCCTTCGGTTTACTAAGCACCTCTTCTTCAAGTGATACAAATATATTCCGTGAAAAGCACTTAGTAACCCTGAAATGTCAAATAATTTATTGCCTGTATTCAATTAGGACCCAGCTGCACTTCTTTCACTCCTGTTTGGTTCATGCTTAGTTATTTGCAGCAAACAGCTGCACTTTGTACCTCCTTCAGTGAGTTGCGCCTGTGCCAAAAATATATATTTTTTTATTTTCAGACTCTGTCTCCATTTTTATTCCATTGGTGAAAATTTACATCTGCTGCTAAACGGCTTGAGATATTTATTAGCAGAATAAATTAGCATAATATTCTGTCGCTGTTGATTTCCAAAAAAAGATTGGGTCGTCCAGGCAAATGTCCAAGTTTTTGAAGGCCATTTGTGAGAACATTACTTAATCTTTATGCTGATTATTATCCTCGGTCTGTTAGCACAAAGGAAACGATTGATGAATTATTGGAGGGATACCTTAATAGCATTTAAAAAAAAAAATCAATGTAAAAATGATTAATGGTCTTATTTTTATGTTTATTTTTTATTATTTAAAGTTCATCGTGTTTATGAAATTGCCAGTAAATTAATAAATGTATAAATATATTTACCTGGAAATTGCATTAGCCTTCTTTAAGATCATCTCCTGAGTATTTTTAAGGCGTGTATAGAAGTAAATTATATTTGTGCTCGGAATTTAAATACGTAATGGATAGTATCTGTGAGCAAAGTTGGTTGTGGTGTGCCGAAACCAACGTACGAGTGGGCCTGTAAATAAAAGAGGGCCCACCAAGGAGAATGTAGTTATAACAGGATGTAGGTGGGTGGGGACAATCAGCTGAGCAGCAGCGGTGAGTAGGGGTGGGAGTTTAAGTAGTGGACTTACTCCTCCCACAAATTCAGGCCTAATGGCCTTTCTACATGTGGTATAACATAATATAATGGTATATTAAGACCAAACTTCCTTTTCACAGATGCCTCATTACAGGGCCGTATTCTATATAATATTCTTACATGATTAAATACCCAGAAAATTGAAATGCCCTAGAGAGGATTAATCTCATGTTGGATTAAGACCTGCCATACTGGGATTCATACCTCGGTGGTAGACTCATTTATTGATGATGATGTTTTGTAACTGAATCCCATTATATTTATCTAGGATAGGAATTTTGTAGACTTTATAAGCTTGAGAGCTAGTTTAGAATGCAGCGGGTGAAGTTCAGCTCGTTGAAGTGGTCTGGGTGCAGTGTCCCTATTGCACTTAGTGCAGCAATATAAAACATTGGAGTTACAGAGAAATTGCAATGTTTACATTGCAGCAATAAGTCTGCCTCTATTGGTAGTCTGCTAGACACCCACTTGAGCTGCTTCCTGGCTAATAACAGACTTTTGGTTTCGGGGTTTAGAAAAATACCCCTTTCTGTTTCATTAGAGATTATTACCTTTAGCTGAATGAATTGTTAGTGTAGGACTCACCTAAGAGGTTTCACCTTGATGTGGAAAGTGAGCTTACACTTGTATGGCCATTGCATTGATATTAAAAACAAAAAGACCCCCCACGGGTGAGAGGAAACATTATGGGACACAAAACGAAGAAGCTGAAGCCTGAAAAGCCACGGACGGGCTTAAATATCGGGCTTTCTGCGACAGGCACATGGCGTGGTAAGGCCAAAGATGGCCGATTACCCTGAGACATACTCTGAAATCTCTGATGACATTTCCCCTGAAGACATGTCCTCCATGCTTAGCACCAAGGTACACTGAACACGACAACTCACCAGTGACTACTGCAGCGCTGAAAAGCGCTCCTGGCAGACCTCCAGAAGAGTATCCAGACGGATGTTGCACTACTCCGTACTGACTTGCAGGGCTTATCGGGCAGACTGGTGGTGGTGGAAGCTACATCCAGCGACCAAGCACAACAGATTGCAATGTTACAAAAGGCAGTCCAGGGGCTCCAACAGCACAGCAAGCTGGCTGAACGCCGCTTCACCGCCATCGAAGACTGGTGGCGAAAAAACAATGTCAAAATATGGGGCATCTCTGAAGAGGTACCGACGGCAGAGATCCCGCATTTCCTGATGCGCCTACTAGTTAATCTACTTACCCCAAGACAGGGCAAAATGGTGGGAATCGACGGATTCTTTAGAGTGCCGAAGTCTCCCCAAGTGCCGGACAACGTGCCGAGAGATTTGGTCCTCCAGGTGCAGAGTGGTAAAGATAAGGCAGCAGTGCAGGCGGCGGTCAGAGACCACACACCATTCAAGTTTGAAGACATGTCTCTCACGTTTTTCCCAGACCTTTCAGGGAGCACAGTAGCCTGGCGAAGATCGCTCCGGCCGTTTACCTCTCTCCTATGACAGCAGCAGATACCACACCAGTGGCGACTAACCCGCGCCCTAATGGTCCAGCAGGGTGGAACCAAACACCTGATCCATAACCTTGCGGAAGCAGCAGCCTTACTGCCCACTCTCAACTTTCCTCCAGACACCCTGACACCAACCGGGGCTGGGGCAGCAGCCCAGACACCGAACCAGTGGAACCCAGAGACTGTGATCCCCTTCTCCCCTCGACGGATGGCTAAGGGAGGATACGCAGTGGCCAATACCTGATGAGGGTATTGGTACTGACCACCTAATACAGCCTTAAAGCACTACCCAAGGTAGTAGAGTTAATACAGTTTACGTTTTCTAGTTTAACTTTATAAGTAATGGTTTTATTCAGCACACAACACATGAGCGCTCACACATAAACAGCTCACATTCAGATCAACTACCCGTTTGAGCTGACCATATTCCCCCCACACGCTTTCTGGGGTCAGTGAGAACAAAGTATACCTACCTGTATAGCTCCGAAAGCATCCATAAGTTGAGTACAACTTCACCCCGGAGCAAATATTATGCGTGACCTAGTTTTAAAATGAGACAGGTTATCCAACCATAATTTTGTAGGGTCCAGGCCCTATTACATTAGCGGTACTCACAAAGTACCCAGAGTTAAATAACTTGACGAGATCCCCTCACTACACATAGCTCGATATACATACTATCTCACCTTAACGATGTTAACTAAAACCTAAAAATTTGCTGTTTCTATGTATGCCATGTTAATAATCTCCTTTGAATGTCTTTACTAGGTTGGTATAGCTATCGTGGCGTACCAACCTTGTTTATCACATGCACAATAAAAATAAAGAATTAAAAAACAAACAAACAAAAAAAATACTGAAAATGCATAGGGAGTTGAGATAGTGCGCAAGTAACTTTTTGGGGGGATGCTTTTATAACCTTAGCTTAATGGAGATTATGAGATATCTTTCCTTATTTTGACACGCAGTTGTGATTTATTAAAGGTACACTCATAGCACTATAACCATTACAGTGCGCTGTGGTGGTTATGGTGCCAGGAGTGCAATGGCGACTCTCCATTGTAAGTTATCAAACCGTTTTACAACAGTTTGCCTTCTTACTTGGGGTCGCCAGGTACCGCTTCAACTACATCTGGCAGAGAGGCAGAAGCTCTAGGCTAGGCCTGCTGTTGCAGATGTTAGCTCTTTAACAGGAGAATGGTCAGTTGACACTCTCAACCAATGAGCTAGCTTAGTTTAGAAAAGCTAATGGAA